TACGACAATCTAGTTGCGCACATCCCTGCCGCGCGATAGACATCGGCACAGACGCTAGAACCCCCACACGCCGTCACCACCGCATCGCAAACAGTCCGTCCCAGCCGTCGCAGCAGCATCGTTGCTGCCGACTTTGCGAGCAATTCTTCTCATGGTTTCGCTTCCCAAGGCGCAATCGTGGTAAATGGTACGGTTTGCAGTCGTCCTCTGCGTGCCGTGTTTGATTCTGGTCGTACGCCACAGGCACGTCATCACGAATTGCCACAACGTCCTTGGCACGGCAACGAACTTTGCGCACAGACCAGAGATTCCGCACCCAAGCCGCATCGTTTGACAGAGCAAGCACCACGGTTTTCATCGTCCTCACCTGTTGCTGGTATGCCCTGTCCACTCTCCATGGCGACATGACACCAGTTCTTACGCGGTTGATAGCCATGGAGGGCCGTTCGACGCCGCCGCCATTGTCTGCGTCATGGTCGAGAGGATAGACTGACGCTAGTAATCCTGCGCCAAGGCGTAACACCCAGTGATCCTCTGGGGTCCGTCAGCATCATGTCTGCAGTGTGCGTTGTCTCCGTTGAACTCGATTGGCGATGTTGGCATGAGACCACACGACCACGGAAATCGCAAAAATGCTGCCGCCGACGATCCACTCTCTTCGCACAGCCGCTCCATGGAGTTTGTTCATTTCCGTCGGCACAGCCGGATCCAAACGTGTAGCCACTCTCTTGAAAGGTTTTACTTGCTCGTGAAAGTGTGGAATGCCGCTCCATCATCATCGGGCTGGCAAGGACCTCGACATGAAATCTGCCTTTGATCTGACTGACGTTGCAGATGTGTGTTGGGTGCTGCCGAGCGATCGTGGTGTGTCCATGCAGCCGTGACGCTCAGCGCTCGAGTTCGGCCCCAACACGACCGACGCCGTCTACTTGGCTGCTGACCTCTTGGTTTGTCGAGTTCACGACGGCCACGTCGTGGTGACTCGCGGTAGAGCGAACGACGCCGTGCTCGGGCTTGGAACTCGATGCCAATTCCTATCACCGTCGACGTAGTGCAAGACGTTTGACGAGTGGTCGAGGTTCATTTCACGGTTCCTCCTAAAGACTGTGACCTTCCGACGGCGACGGAATCTTGAACAAGCTCGTGAGCATGCTCTTTTCGCTATAGTCCATCGCGTATCGCTCGATCACTTCCTCAATCAACTTGCGACGCGTTGTGTACGGCGCCATGTACCACTGCGTTTGCTGTCTGCATGCTCGGTTGGCGTTCATGACCGTCTACCCCGTCGCCGTGACGTGAAGCCTTCCTCTCACGTGAAAAATGAAAACGTGTACCTGTCGAACGAGGTCTGGCAGCTCGGACTGGGTTACGACCATTCCCGTCATCAGCGGGCCAAAGAGCGGAACCTGACCAACCGTGAGCCATTTCGTTGCCATCGGGGTGGCGCGTACATTCGGTTTTGTGAGCACTTCAACCAGTACAAGTCCGTCGTACGTGTTGTGTTTGAGGGGAAACAGCACGACTTGGACAAAGTTAAAGTTGCTACACATGGCCGATCGATGAGCATGCGGCAAGGACGTATGGCGCAATGCTGGGAAAATCGCTCGATGGCGTCGATTACCTGGTGATTGTTGCTTGGTTGTACGCGCGAAGGTTGTCGCTCCACACGACATGGACATAGTCGTTGCCAACGTGCCGCTTCTTGTCGATCTGCTGGGGATCGGCATCCCGTGTCGGCATCATCGTCACGACGTGAAAAATCAATTCGGCCGTCGACGACGCGTAATACAGTGTCTTGGGTCCGTTCGAGAGCGACTTGGGGTTGACGTCCAGGCCACCAACGAACCCTCGATGCGTTGCGAGATCCACCTGGTCCCCACCGGGTCAGTTGTTGTTACAACAAATACAATCCATCTACCTCCCAACCCAACTCGCGCAGAAATTGCTCGTAGGCGGGGCTGCCGCAATCGTTGCGCAGGATTTCCTGCTGCGACGACTGGTTTGGACCAACGTATACGACGCCAATTTTCATCGTTTCGCGACTGGGAGCCTTGTCGAGGTGCTTTAACGAACGCTCGAGTTTGACACCGTTATCCAGTAGCTGGACTTGATGGTGCGTCGCCAGGAAATCGTTGGGTAAGATGCCCACGTGGCCAAGGAACAACCGGCACATGTCGAGAGGCGCCAGGCGGGTCGAAGGCTGTGCTGCTGTCGACGGGGTGGTTGGCGTCGCCAGCGCGGTCCTCGTCGGGTTGAAAATACCGTTCGTGGTGGCTTTCACCTTTAAGGTTTCGGCGCATATGCGAACATTCAGTTCCATCACCTACGACAAGTCAAGTGCCAGAACCAACAACACGTCGGGTGCCTTACGTTGAATGCATCGTACAGCATGAGTTGATGTGGAATGGGCATGTTGGCCCAGTTGTCTCCGTCATTCGCGACGGGAGGTCCCGACGTCTTCTTCGCGAGCAGGTCGTTCAAGGACGTGATGAAGCGGTCGAGGAGTCCGCCGTTTTCAAAGCACGTAACTTCGACGTGGTCCAGTGCCGCTTGGAAAAGGGTCAGCGGTAGCTGCTGCACGTGCGCCGGACGGTTATCGCTGGCCGAAGCTGCAGCTTGTTGGATAGCATTCTGAACCTTGGACGCGATGCCGTAGGGAAATTTCACGCTGAAGTTGCTCTCGGACGACAGATATTCCCAGTACAACAAGCTCGCTTGGCTCAGCCGATCGTTCCCGTCAAAGGATCGCTCGTACTTTTTCAAGGCGTCGCTGTGGCAGACACAGTCAGACGCGTGGACTCATCAGGCAGATACATGTACCAGAATTCAATTAACGACCTGCCCCGATCGCGCTCCTCCGCCAAGTACAGTTTGAAGTATGCATAGCACTCGTCGTCGTGCAAGAGGCGCTGAAAAAACGAAAACCCTGGCTCCGATGACGAGTCTTTGTGCATGGGTCCGACTGGAGTCCTCGTCCGGCGTTCGTCCCACTCCATGTCCAAGTACTTTTGCATCGTATACCGCCCGCCGAGCAACGTTTTGTCGATGAGGTCACCGCCGCAGTCGCGATAGTGCATCGGGATGCTGTCCACAAGCAGTTCTAGCAAACACCGCTCGTGGTCGAGAGAGCCAATGTACTGTTGGTCGGCGTCGATTGTAAACAAGTTGCAGATCGGAACGGCCGCCGTCGGGGACGCAGCAGAAACGACCGGAGTCGACGTGGGGTCTTGATGAAGGGTGCTGCTGCACTGGCATAAATATACGTCAAAGTTGCTGCCGGAGTTGAGCCCCGGATGTGATTCGGTGTGAAAAACATACTGCGGCATGGATGGTAGGGAGTTGCCTTTAACGAGAATCTTCTTGGCGACTGGAAACGGAACCAACGCATTGGTGGGCGCTAGTGGTGGAGCACTTGGCGCGGACGGCTTGAGTATTCGACCACCGCAGATCGTGCACATGTTGGACGTTGGGACAGTCATGTTGGCATGGGCTACCGCGTGATCCATCATGACCTCGAGCCGCTCCCTGCACTCCCCGTCATGTTGACCTGGAATCGGTCGATCCCATGGATGCTTGTCATGTTCAGCAGACGTTGTCGCTGGCATCAGCGCTGCTTGCATCGATAGCGCGTCCACACCCGACGGCTGTACTGGCAAACCCGTTGATACGGCGACAGCATCCCACGTATAAGTCCCTGTGATATCCCGCACGACGATGCGGGCTGTTGGAGCGTCGACACTAGGCACACCCCACTCGTCAATCATGCCAAATGCAGAAACCATGCTCGCTGCAGCGAAGACGTTGCCTTCATGTCTTCCTTACCCTCCGACGACGGTCAGCACGATCGAATTCAAGTAAACAAAACTGAGCGACGTCACAGCGTCGTTCGCTGTGTCGTCAAACTCGGTGCACGTTGACACAAACTGGTCCATGCCGGCAGGAGATGGAAATCCATGCAAGTGGTGAAGCTAGGCCAGATCAACGTCCGTGACAAGGCCTTCGCTGCAAGGGAGAGTTCGCGAGTGCCTTACCAGGTGCATCAAAAACCCTTCAGCGGCCGCAGCAATGTCTGAAAAGCACTACGAATTCGGTCAACTTCACTGCGTGTGACACTCACAATGGTTACCTGGAGGGACGTCTTGTGGCGGTCTGGATCCAGCGACACCCGCATCGCCAGACCAAGGAATAAAAGCGGTGTGTCCATGTTTCGCTTGCGCTTCCTGGCTTCCTCCACGACAATTTGCCATTCTGATTGTGTCGGGATGCTGCCGATGAGCGCTGCCTCCAACGCTTGAAAGAGCAACTTTAGCACGGCTTCGTCGTGCAGCAACGACGTGCAGCTCATAAGCCAATCGGTGAGGCTTTCAAAAATGGCGTTCGACTTGGCGACGATCGTCTTGAGAACCGATGACATGACTTCGCTGCCTCGCGATTGCTGTCTCGGAAGGTTCAGGTTGGCGCCAAGGACGCTTTCAGAACCACTCGACGGCTGCTTGTCTGGAGCGGCCCACGAGTTGGATCGCTTTCTCCCCCGACCAACAGCTACGTCGCTGGTGTCCGGTCCCAAGTTGTCGGTCGGCGAGCCTAGGGCGACGGGATTGCCGCCGCGCTGGCCATGGTGCAACGGTGGCGGCAATTGGTCTGTGGGCGATCCTTCCAAGTGATCCCGAATCACTGTCGACGCGTTTTCGACCTGCTGTTGGACTAACAGCGATAGCGCCATCACGATATGCTGAACGAGTCCAGGTTCCAGCGCTAGCAGTGCTGCGTGGTAGTGGTGGAGAGCATGGACAGCGGCGAGGGCTGTCTGCGCCAGCACGACGTCTTGGGAGGCACAGGTATCGCAGAGATAGATCACGTACGACTTGACCAGCGTCGGGTGGCTGGACGACCGGAGCTGGAGAACCACAAGGAGATACAAACCCCACAGCGCGCGCTGCTGGACGTCTGTCGTCGACGCGAATTCGCTGCCGTCAAAGTCGACCAGTCGTTGAAAGCACCCCGCCGCCACGGTATGCAGCTGCAGCACGCATCCATGAGCAAAACCATAGTGATAATCCTTGCATGCACAACACGGATTGCCGGCGAATGCAGCCATGACCAGCATCACCCATGCTACGATTACAGGCCCATCGACATGACACCCAGAGCAATCCATCAAAGTGCTTTCAAGAAACCACGTCATGCCAATCGAAACAAAAACACACAAGCTCCGTGACTGAATGAAAATAGACCACGTAGGAAGTACCTCGGCGTCAAATTCGGCCAGAAGCGGCAGCGCCGTCGGTGCTCGCGACGTTCCTTTCGTCGCTGGACCGACATTACGCAGCTTGGCCTGCCAGCTCTCATGCGCTAAATTCGGGTACTGTCCTGGCAGTGACAGCAACCCAAACAGCAACTGGATGCACGACAGACAGTCCACCTTCGAGTCGGGGCCGTAGGCTAACGCGGTGGCAGGTGACGTGTGGTGCTCCGTGAGGGCCTCGATAGCGTGCAAGACGGCCGGGATCAGCACGTGAATGCCGGAAGCACATCGGCCAAAAATGGTCGACGCCTGCCGAACGACGGTGGAGATCACGTTGATCTTGGTCGTGTCGTGGATGGCGGCGTGGATGACGCGACAAAACATGGCGACGTGGGACGGAAGCATGTCGGTGTTGTTGTTGCAACTCGCCGTGCTCACGAGGCAGAGAGTTTCGAGCGCAACACACTGCGCGGCTTCAAAATCCGACGACATGGGCGGTTCGCATGATGGCAGAAACCATTCGCCAAAGAGGGACACGAGCGTGCTGGGGCTAATGCCGAGCGCCGGAATCTTGTTGACCCACATGATCACGAGATCCCGCACACTTTCTTGGACGAGAAGGACCAAATGTGGTTTGAGGCTCGGCATCGTGGTCGACGGACTCATCACATGCAAAAGGCGGTCAAGAACGACGAGAGCCGTGTCGACCGTGGGGGCAATATGCTGCGACACAAACGTGGACACGAATTCCTTGGGCAGATCGTCATGCTGCTTATCTGCCGCCGTGTGTTGATGTGGTGAGTAGAACCACTGCAAGATCGCGCTGATCGTATTCACTTCGACCTTCCACCTCCGGACGAGTTCGGTTGCAAACGCAGTCGACACAGACGGGCTCGTGAGCCACTTGCGCACCATCGTGCCAAGTTCGGCCCACACGTCGACGGACGCGCCGTTGGGCTGTACCATGCCATGCATCCACGTGTGATAGACAGCCGCGACCATCGGGACAAGAATGGATTGTCCAGGGGGCATGTCTCGTAGAAAAAACGACGCGTCGGTCGTTGCGAGGATCGCCTGGGCACGTGAATCCACCATGAAGGACGCGTCAAAGAATGCATCGCATACCTTTCGGAGGACGGCAAACGAGTGGATATGAAGAGGCTGCTGCGACAGGAGCTCCAGCAGTTCAATGCCGACGATGAAAATGTTGGGGTCGTCGAAGTGAACGCTCGGGTGAAATATTTGCGATACGTGGGCGATGATCGCCCGATGCATCTAGGGCGTCAAGAAGCGTGAAATCACACGCACTAGACAGTTGCGATTTGAATCGAACGTGGTAAAGAAGACGTCGACAACGCCATGGACCACTCGGTTTCGTGCAGACACAAATTCAATTCCTCGCAGACATCCATGAAGAGAATAACAAGGTCCATGCAATAGTTCACGCTCAGGTCCAAGCGACTTGGCATCGCTCAGCAAAGGTTAACCTCATTCCTTTGGACCAGCACGTTGACGGCGACCGCACGCACCTCGTGGAACGATTCCTTCATCGCGGGCGGAATGTATTGAGTGCCCTTGCACAGCTGCGAGTAAAACTTGATGCCGTCCAAGATGAGTTCCGGGTCGCGGTAGGCAAACCGTTGGCGCATGGTTTCCATGATCACATCGACGTATTCCTTTCGGAGCCACAGCGCATCCATAAACTTGGGCTTCGAACGCAGTTTGTACAGCCACCGCGCCATGACCCGTTGAAAGCTGCCAGGGCAGTGGTGGAAGAACCCAAACTTGTCGGCCTTGTCCTTGAGCCCGACCTCGACGCACGTTTTGGGGTACAGGAGCGGCATGTACGAATGCATGAGCACATCGCACCAAAAGAGGAAGCGATGGATGTCAACATCTGTGATGTTTTCACTGCGCTCGAGACTGAGGTCCATCACATATTTGAGCATGTCGACGGGCTCCTCGGCCTGCGTTGGCCCCACGCGCTCCCACCCGAGCACAGACCCGACTGTGTACACTCGCGCGGGCAAGATGACATTCGAGTTGCCGCTCGCGTACGGGGAGAAGTCAATGCTTTCAGCAAGAAGGTCGAGATGCGAGAAACCGAACCCGATGTTGACGGCATCGACCGAGTTGGACGAAGACGTTTGTGTGACGCTGGTTGTGAGGAGTTGAGCCGTGTTGCGCAGACCAAAGTCGGTGTCCATGAGGATGTCCGAGTAGAGTGCGAGGCATCTAAGCAGAGTGAACGCCGTGATGAAGTCAGCACGGAGATGTCGCAACGCACCGGAACGCGTATTTCTTGATGTAAGCAATGTTGTCGGCCAAGAGCAACTTCTGAAAGATCTGGAGGAATCGATTATGCTGCCACCCTGACGCGAGAAGGGCCTTGTTCGACTTGATAAGGACTTCAAGGCCCTCAAACACGTCTGTCCAGTCGTCCGTTTGAAACTTCTTGGTGCGCATCTTATCAATCAAGTTCTTCTTCTCGGGGGCGACGTACATCGTCTCCAACTCGGTCAGGTACGCGTGGAGGACACTAAAGAACATACTGCCGTGCGCAACTTCGCCCCAAAACAGTTCGTGTTGTTCGCCTGTGCTCGTCTTGAGAAACTCGAGAGCAGTCGCGAGCCGCTTCCGTGGGGGTTTGTCTTCGGCGAAGAACCGACTGAGTTTCTTCATGTCGAGCTGCGGAAGCGCCGACGCCGCAGATGGGACATTGCTCGACGCGGCGGAGCTGGACGCTGATTGCATGGAAGGAACGTGGTCGTCGTCGTCGAAGTGCCTGTGCTGTCCCTCGGCCTCCCGGCAGTCAAGTCGGGCGATGTGACTGAACGGCTGCGTAAGTGGCGACCTACTGGCGCCCCGGATCGCCTCTGTGTTCTCGACAAGCGCTCCGGAGCGCGTTTAGTATAGAAAAACGTTTTGATAGTTTTTGTATGCAACGTTTAGTAATACTAACCTAACATATCCACGGAAGCGTCACACGCTCGTCTCAACATCCAACGCCGGCAGGAGAGCGCAACGCAAGCGCCACGTGACGTAGGGAACAGGTACGGTCGCTAACCCGTGGCGAGCAGATTGATAGAAGTGGGTCGTAATGTGGACGCAGTGAGCATCTAGCGCAAGTGCTTGGGCGTGCAGGTGCTTCACCGCCCACGACCGAGCGAGTCGCTGGCGCCGTAAGGCCAACCTGTAGGCTACAGCCGATTGGAGTTGAAGGGATGGAAATTACACATGTGAAGGACGGGACGACGGGTGACCTGCTTGACCTGATGCCTCGTCATGCAAGCACGATGATGTGTCTTGAGGCTTGCTGTGCCCTTTCATGGTTTCCCCATCGACGTTTGGAAAATGTCGCGAAAATTGCTGTGAATTTGAGTAAAAACTTTGAAAATTTCGGCGAAAAAACCAGTGCGACGGTTCCGGCACCGGGATCTTCCGTGAGATGTCGTCGAAGCGGTCCAAGAAAGATGGGGACACAAAGGCGGAAGGCAGCAGCGACAAGAAGACTTCCAAAAGCAAAAAGAAGGAGAAATCATCGAAAGAATCCAAGGAGGTCAAGGAACCGAAGGAGAAGGTATCATCGCCAGCGATTCCAACACCAGGAGCTCCACCTGCAACGATTGTCGAGTACGTTGTGCGGTGCCTCTTGCCAGGGTGCAAATTTTCTTCGTTTTGAGCAGGCAGCCTGAGATCAACGACCCCGACGCTATCCAGCTCTTCCGCCGGTGCGTCCTGGCACCATCTATGCGCAACTCAATCCAAAGTCACACAGATACGACCGTGAAAAGGCAAACCACATCACACGAAGTGACTTCCTCGACCTCCTGCGAGACTACACGGCATGGTACCCCGGACGCAAGTGGAACATGCCCGTGATGCCGTGTGCGCTCACGGATGCCGCGGGAATTCCACTCGGGTTTGAGCGCACGTCTCGCAACTCCGAGTTTGAGGCTGGTCAGCTCTTTGAACGGTGTGTCACGTGGTCCATAATATCTGCTCACAAGAGCAATAGCTACGACACGAATCGATCAGGGACATTGGAAGCCACAGAGTTTCAACTGTTTTTCAGAGATTTCAAGAAGCAGTTGGGTCCTTTCGTCGAGGAAATGTTGGCAGCATTCCATGCAACATCTCCACCAAGGTATGCTCCTTGTATTTCATTGCCTCCAACTTGTTTCCTATTGAATGCGTCAGACCGGCCATTGACTCGTCTGGGGCGCATTACCACCGTCCCCAGCACACCTCCGCTTCACCGCCACCTTGGCAGGCTCCTTCCAGCCATCCCGTATACCCGCACGACCTCGTTTGGCGCATTCATGATGGCCCATGATGCGGTAGACTCAACGTGTGGCCGACACAAGGCACTTGTACGAGACAAAGCTTACCCAGTTGCGTGCACTGTGTGATGTTACGCTTCAGCAACTGCATGACAAGGCACGTCGTTCTTTCGAGAGGTTTCGACCACTCCTGAACATGTCACGGTAGTTGGACAACTTGCAGCATCATCGACACGCAGGTGCTCCGGCGTGGAGCACGTCAAGGGCGCCACCCGCCATGGTATATCATCTTGAGAGGAAGCGTATTTGCATCTAGTCGACGAGAGAATTCACGAAGCACTGGGACAGATGCACGAGGAAGGGCGCGACCGACGGGAATGGAAACGCCACCAATCATCCAGCCGCTCCGACGAAATAGCGATCGACGCGCTGAAGAAGGACATGGATTTTGTCGATCGCGTATTCAAGGACACGAGTGAATTCCTCGACCAGCAGCATCGGGTGTCTCCCCACGACATGAACGCGTTCCTGGACGACTTTCCGCGGGTATCACGATGATGAACGGGAGAATGCTTTGAAAGTCGAACCACTTTGATCGTGTAGATGCACCAGGCAGTGCAAGATGTGGCGACCAAGTCGTACACGCCGCCACTGTCGCCATCGACACCGGTCCATCCCCGCGACGACTTGGAAAAAATTCTCAAAGTCAAAGATCAGGTGCAGTTGCGCTTCCTGGCACTCGTCGACGTGATAATGCACAGATGATCTGGGGCTTGCTGCAAGAACGAAACGACTTGAGGCGTCAGAGAGATGCCATCGACATGCAGCTGCGCCACATGACCGAGTTGAGTGCTCAAGAGATGCGAAAGTGGGCCAAGTACGTGTGCGACCTTCCCCACCTTGTTGATACCTGCGGGACGGTTGACCATTGCCGCAGACTTACTGACGATATGCAAGCGGAAATTGAACGGCTGCGGGGCTGACATGCCCTCTCGCCAGTGCAATCGAGCAAGCGCGCCATCCACTAGACCCCACCTGACTCAATATCCGCCTCAACGCGAAGCTGCCATCGGTGCGCCCCCAGGCAATAAGCTATTTCACCAACGTGCTTTCACAAACCAAGGATGTCAAATGTCGGCAGCGCCGTGCAATACGTGAGTACGGACGGCTCCAGCAGCGCAAACGTCTTGCGGTCCACGTTCAGCGTGTGCAAATTGGGGAGGATCGTAATACTGGACGGGAGCGCCTGCAACTCTACAACCGATGGTATCACGTTGATGCCGTACATCCGCGAGACAGACACACCGTTGCGATCAAGCAGCAAAGCCGTCAATTTCGTGCACTGACTGAGCTCGGACGGGAGGTGCTTGAGCTGATTCCCCGCCAGCCACAGCGTATGCAGTCGTGTGAGCTTGCCAATTGCAGAGGAAACCTGTATCGTTTGCATGAGCTGCTGGCGTCCGTGGTCGCGGCCCAAAGTGAGCACGTGAAAGGGGGACTTGCCTCGATCAACCCGTTGTTGGACATGTTGAGGAACTGCAGAGCTGGGAGGTTCTCGATGCCGCGAGGTAGCTTGGTCAGCTTGTTGTTGGCCACGTGGAATTCTTCCAGTGCCTCTAAACAAGCCCACGTGCGACGCCCCTTCGAGGCGCCATGGTTGTCGTCGTTCGAGTCGTCGTCTTCGTCGTCTGGTAGGTCCACCAACCCATTCTCGGACAGATCCAAATACACGAGTTTTGTCAGCTCAAACAGCGTCGCGTCCACGGCTTTGAGTCTGCGGGGGACCCGATCAGGCACCCATGGCCAACAAACACCACACGCACTTGTTTTGGACATAAGTGAGGACGCGCAAATCATGTCGCATGCCGTGGAAAGCGGCCCGTGGAAAGGTGTCGATGCGGTTGCTGCTCAAACCTGCGTTGTCATCGTGAGCATGGCGCGATCGATGGACAAAATGGAGTGTGCGCACTGAGGTTTCGGACATGGATCAGCGATGCGCATGCAGGTGGCAGCTCCAACAATCGATTGCCTACGCATCCGACGTGAATCCCCCGCGACTCGCTCTCGACGTACTTTGAAGCGACAGCGTGTCGAGTTGCTGCAGTGCACCAAACCCCACCGGTAGTTGTTTCAGGAGATTGCGCGTCAATCGGAGCGTGGTCACGGCGGGTGCTGTCTCCCATTCCTCCGGCAACATGCAGATCTTGTTGTCGCTCGCGTCGAGCTCGGTCAACCTGGTTGTCGACATCATGACGGTCAGTACAACTTCCTCCGACTGGACTGCGTGCGATCACGGGCATCGATCGAGCGCGATGTACCTCGGCAATAACACAATAGAAAACGGGAGCGCGGACAACATGTTGTTCTGAACAAACACGCGCTCGAGAGCGTGGAGGTCCCCGAACGCCGCCGGTAGCGTCTCGAGGCGGTTGTGATGCAGCCAAAGGCGCTGCAGCGACTGCAGCTCACAGAACGTTGGCTGCGGCAAGACCGATGACATGGCAAACGTGTGGGCATGCCCGACGTACGTGCAAACTGGTCAATTCGTTCCAACTCGCATCAAACGACCGCAGACGCGTCAGGTTGCTCAACGAAAACGGGAGCTCCACGAGCTGGTTGTGGTCGATGGCTAGCCGCCTACGACGGTGACCAAACATATCAGTCGACTGTGCAGATGCCGTCACTGCCTGGCGTACTCGAGCGCTCCAAGTCGTCCAAAGCTCGCGGGAAGTTGCTTGATTCCATTCCCAGACAGACGCAGGTCTGTCAAGGCCGACCCCAGCAGCTGCGACACGAACGACGGCGGCACAACCGTGACGAGCTTAGGGTTGTCGGCGGTGCGTCGGTGGGACCAATCCAACTCGGCGCGGTTGTTCTTGGCGGCGTCGCCGGCGGCCGCCAGCAGCGATTGCCCACCGCCCATGCCTTGTACACACCACACTTCGCCCAACGCGCTGGTGCCTTCGGCGGACGTTGAAACGGCGACTTGAGTTGAAACAGCATTTTTCTTTCAAGAAAACGAAACAAAGGGGTGAATTAGTCAGTCTCCTAACTTGGGCTAATTGATACACTTGCTCAACGCAATGTGGCGGTGTGGGGCACACGGACCGACGACGACGACGACTTGGCTAAAACAAGTTGAACGCATCGAACGCTGCCTTGTCGTCGCCCGTGAGAGCCACGGCCGTGTCTTCTGTCGATTCCGGGTACTGGTCAAAGTTGCCGTGGTCACCAGGGCCATGGATCGGCGGCAAATACGGCGGTGTCTCGCCTTTTGAAATCACGACATTCCAGTCCACGTTGGAAAAGTACTTGTGCTTCTTCACGTCCTCGGCCCCGTTTCGCAGGCACCCTGGACGCACGTGGGCTGGTCAGACGGACGGTCATGCCACCATCACAACGTACCGAGCCGCTTCGTACGATCGTGCGTGAGCAGCTTCTTTATTAAGTCCTTCGCTTTGCTGTCTATGTATCGCGGGTATTCGACCTTGCCCGTCAAGATCTTTTGGTAAATTCCAAACGGGTTCTCGTCGTAGAATGGCGGGTACCTACAGATCGACGAGATCAGAAGATGCATGATGACGGCGCCACGCATACCCTGCTAACATTTCGTAGATCAAGACTCCGATCGCCCACCAATCGACCGACTTGCCGTGACCCTTGCTCTGAATGATCTCGGGAGCCAAGTACTCGGGGGTTCCACACAACGTCCACGTTTTGTCTTCCACTCGTTTGGCAAATCCAAAGTCGGTGATCTTGATGCTGCCGTCGTGCGTGATGAGCAAGTTCTCGGGTTTCAAATCGCGGTAGATGATGTGCAGGCCGTGGAGGTACGAGATGGCGAGGACGAGCTGGGACGTGTAGTACCGTGACGCATCATCCGAGAGCTTTCCTTGCCTGCGCAAGTACGAAAAGAGTTCGCCGCCTGGAACGTACTCGAGCACGAGGTACAGGCGCTTCTCATCCTGGAAGCTCCCGAGGAAGTTGACTATGAACGGATGGTCGATCTTGCTCAGAATCTCGACTTCGCATTTGATGTGGTGCAGTTGCTGCAGTCGAATGATCTCGCACTTTTTCAAAATCTTGAGCGCGTAATAGTTGTTGTTCTCTTTGTGCTTGACGAGACGGACACGGCCAAACGTGCCTGTGCCGAGTGTGGCCAAGATGTCAAAGCTGTCGTACTCGACCTTCATCATGGGCTTGGTCGGCAAATCCATGGTTCGTTGCAGTCTATTCGCAGCTATCGGTCACACTCGTCGTGGTGCTGGCCACACAACGACACAAGATTCTCACGCACCGTGTCTGTGCGTGCGTCCTTCTTCACGGAGACGATTCCTCACTTGGTCAGTCACTCACGAAAGCAGCTCAATCCCCTGTCGCCGCCAGGTCGATCACTCAACGCGCGCAGCTCTGTCTAGTGTTTCGGGGAAGTTTCACCTGTGAGCGCCCCCTTGGAAACACTTCTTTGGCTGTGTAACCCATGGACTCAAAGATATATTCCAAAAACAACATGCTACGGTATCCGGAACGATCCGGATACCCGACCAGTTTTGCCCAAACGTCGTGGTATTTTATTCCAACCGTATACAAACTTTGTGTTCTTTAATATCTACACTGCCGTCCGGATACGTGAGGCACCAAGATCACAGGAAGCGGCGGTTCAACAGTCGGCCCATGCAGAAGCACATGCATGATGGAGGTCGGCGTGCTACTTGCAAGGATAGGCACGAACAAGGTGCACAACTCATAAGGGTCTTCGCGAACGGTGCAAGGGTACAGTAGGATGGTTTCATCTGAGACGCTGTGCGTTGCTGGTCGTGTCGGTTGCCATTCCAGCGTCACCAGTGGGCGGAGTGGATGGCCTTGGGTCACAAGACGATTGTCTGGTAGCGATGAATAGTATTCCGAGGCATGATCCTTACAACTGCTCGAGATACTTGCCGACGCGGTCCGACGTCGTTGAAGGGTACACGACAGGTCAACCAACGATGTTGTGTGCCAGCTTTTACAGCTCCAGTTCTCTCAACGGCGTTCTCGCCTTCTGCGATGGAATCTTCCCATCAATCAGTTCGCGCACTGCCTTCCTCCTGCCGCCCTGGTCTCCCCGTGAACGTTGGACGTGGAGAATATTGACTCGTCCGCCGCATACCTCATTTCCGACCAACCAAACTGAGTCACACTTTCAGGTGACCAGCTAAATTTAGCCCTTGCAACACCACCTGCACCGACGAGGCCCTTCTCCCAGTTAATGGGATCCGCGCCCAGGGTGTGTGTCGTCGGCTGTCGCTGAGAGAGTCCTTTGCGCCTCAGACAAGTAGCCAAGGCGAGTCCGACGTCTATGCCAAGTTCATTCAGTGAAAGCGCCACCTGCGACTGGACTTGGCGTCAGCACGTCACAAGTATGTAGATACTGGATTCGTTGATGGAGTCGAGTTGATCTTGTCGTGACCACGACGACGCAGAAGAAGGAATTTCCATCATGGCCATCTCCATTTGGCAAAGGAGAACGCAAGAACACCCGAGCACGACTCGTCTGAGCAACGTCTTCTTCACCGTTCGCCCCTTTGACTTGCGGACCTACATCCGCCTTCTTCGTCTACTCCAGGAAATCAAGGACCTGCATGAGGCATGCACGGGCGAATCGAGTTGTCCATGGGCGAATAATCGCTCGGCCTAGTTGAGTTGCATACTACGCACGGTGTGGGCTCGCACGTATGCTTCCAGCCGACATTGTGCGCGCACCATGCCTTCAATCGTGACCTTTGCTTCGTCGGGGGACCCCGTCTGGAGGCAGCACGTCCCTGTTACGTGACTTTTAAATCCGCGGTTGGTTATGTCCGATGCCCCAAACCTACACCATGGCCATCGTCACTACTCTTTTGCACTGCAGAGACGACGGTACCGAAACGCGTGGGGAGCGGGGGTCAGACTTGGATTTAGCGCGGTCACTGTGACCGAGTACGTTTCGTGGGTGCGCGCTCGCTGCAAGATAAGGAAGCGGTGCTGTAGCTCCTGCTCGACAGTCCACGACGTCGTTTGAATGACCAGCATGTTGTCATGCACTCGACGGATGACGCTGTGGTCGATCACGCGGTCGACGAGTGGCATGAAGATGGCTTTTTCTTGATACGCTGCCCACGCAACGTCGCCCATGATCAAGTGGTTGACGCCGGCGTAGTATTTCTCCATGTCGTAGTCCATGGACGCGCCTCGCGTGAGCGCGATGCACGAGATGCCGTTGATCTCGCGGACAGTGCCTTGGAACTGGCTTCGGAGATCCATCGCTTTCAGCTTCTCTTGAGTTTCGTACGCCATGTACAGGAGGAATGCATCGTCTTGCAATGACGGCTGGAAACGCAATTGCCCCTGCGAATGATGGATGGTCAGGACGGCATGGAAGGTGGGGCGATGCACCACGATGATCGAGCTCGCGTGTTCCTGGCGCATCTTGATCGCCGCGAGGAGGCGCATGTTTTGAGCGACATAGAACCGCTTGGTTGCCAAAAGCTTTTCCATCCGACCGTCCGTCGAGACGCCCTGCATGACACTGCCCCCGACAGACAGTTTGCTTTGGAGCGCTCTCTCGAGCTGCGACACTTGGTTCCTCAACGCCTCCAGCATGTTCTGCACATGCACTTAGCGCACAGGACGACAACACAACGACGAAAGGACCGACGCACGTGCTCGTTGGCCCGCCACCGCCGCGTCGACTCTCGAGACTGTTTGCGCTTCCTTTCAACCAGCGATTCGTTGTCCGCATGTCGCTTCGTTGGGCAGGGGCCAACTTGGCGGCATTCACCAAGCTCGGCATCCATCGACGGAAGCGACGAATTGTGGTGAAACGAAACCTGGTCGCTTCGTCGCCGGCGAGCGTATTTTTAGCCCTGGGCAATCTTGACAACACTTCATTACATTTGCAACCTAAGCATGCATCCGACCGCCGCGCACAAGCGCGTCAAAGCGACATGGTGAGCACCCCATGCTTTCGACCGTTGCCCTGGCATCGTCATGGGATGTAGTTGTCAAGGAGCATGTGCCGACAAGTCGTCCTGTGAATGATATGTGTCGAGTCAAAGCGAATCGAATCACGTGAGGTCGATCGGCACCTGTCGATGCAACAGCGACGGCAATGCTTACCAACACGCATGTGGGGCGGGACTCAGGTTCGAAGTGACTGGACCGTGTACTTGGAAGCAGCCCTTTCGCGTTGGACATCGTCGAGGCGCTCGACTTGGTTCGAGTTGGACAGTGGTCCAAGCCATCGTTTCGGTCACGATCGTATTGGCATGCACTTTGCAAACCACGAAAGAGCTGTGCAAGCCTGCATGCCAACAGCGAGGTACCACACCGTGTGGTACACGATCGATGAGGGGCAAATACATGGCGCGGTCATGGTACGCAGCCCGCGCCAAGTCGCCATTACCACGTCGCTCATGCGTTGGATCGTCTCTTGCATGTCCAAGGACTGCGTCTGGGCGATCCCCGAGATCCCGTTGATCTCTCGCTCCGCGCCGCGGACACTGACTGCGACCATTTATCTCCCCCAACTTGACGTGGGGTTTGGCGAGTCAAGTACAGCACGAAAGCGTCGCCGTACAGCGTGGCTTGCGTAATTCGCTGACGGTAGATTGTACGCGCACCCGTTCATTTGAACAGAGTGGAGGACTCCAGATTCGCGGATCAGTTTGACCATGGGCATGTGGAGCGCCTTTTTCGAGGTGCACATTCTGTGCTTGGAAGAATCGCTTCTAGGCCAAGAGGTGGTCCAAGCGATGGTCATGGCCCGCGTTGGCCGACGGCGCGGTTGTCAGCCTCTGGGGCTCGGTTCCCACGACGAACACGTTGATCTTGAGTTCCGCTTCGAGTTGCTGAACCTGCATCGTGAGCGTCCCCAGGATCATCTGGAGCAGCGAGATCAAGCTCGCAATCAGATGGGCCAAGAAGGGCTGGACGACGTACACCTGTTCGTTGGTCCGCCACCGCCTCGTCGACTTCCTCGACTGCCCTCTCTTTCGCTCGAGCAACGTTCGGACCATCGCGTTTTCTTTTGTCGTCTTGTCGGCCCGTCGTCGTTGACCCCCAACTCGTGGCGATTGCCGAGGATTTGAATTCATGGTGGCTCAAATTGCCACCCATCCGCCCAGGCGTTCCTTTTGCCACCTCTCGTTCGGGCGTAGAGTTGCTGACAGAGTCCATGGGGCGACTGTCCACTCCTTTCGATCATGCATGGTTGCTGGTCCAGACGGCAGGCAGGGGCTGTAGGGGGGAACCAGTGGCTGCTTTTGGTGCAGTTTATTCTGTCGGTGGCGCGACCAACGAACAATGCATCCTTCTTCCTACAAACCACGCTTGGGCCGCCATGTTGGATTTTGAGCCGGCCGCACCACGTGACCCGGCGAGAGCCACCTTTCAGTAAACTAAAGCGGGTTGACCCGTCCAATGCAGTCGAGGTCCTGCACAACGGTCAATGCCCCCCCGAGCTTCGCAAGTTTACGCATATCGGAGTTGGAGCACGTGGGCAATCAATGAACGAATGCAAGATGGACTCGAGACCCCTTCGAGCGTCGCCCCAATGCTGGCGTTGATTTGCTCTCGAAATCATCATGTACGAGACATGCGCCACACGAGCGGCATAGACGGAGGGGGGCACATTTCATGGCTTCACCGTAATCTCGTACACAAACAGTCCCACTTTGAATACACTCGGCAAATGACCAAAGGTCACACGCTGTGGACCATGTGGAAGGAGGGCATGTCGAGGCGCAGGATGAGCCGTGACCTCTTTACCCCCAAAGTGCCTTCAAACGCATCCTAGCGCACGGTTTACCCTTTGAACAGTAGTCGGCATTTCCCACGGAGTGGACATTGCCATATATGGCCATCTCGTCATTCTCTCCGTCCTGCACAGGACTCTCAACAACACCGCTCTCGAGACAAATACTCGCAGGCATGATGACGATGTTTTGCACTACGCCGTATTTCGTGTAAGTGTACAAAGTGGCCTTGTCAAAAAAAACAAGCGAATCCAACTTGGTGGCTTTCACCGCATCTCAAACAGAACCAGGCACATGCCTCGACTTGTTACCAGAAGTACATAGGTGTGCCGCAATGGCGGAATCGCTGTCCTCATTTTGTGCGCTTCGTGATGTAGCGCCAAGATGTATCGACAATTCGCCCCCCGCCTCTGCATATCGCTGTTGGCGTTGGGGTGCTTCGCATACAAGTGATGGCTGTGGTACAGTGCGCATAAAGGTCCTCTCCGACCACATGCAGGTCGAGCCATGTCCGCTCTTGGCGACCTTACAGCGTCGTCATCATGCTTTGACCCCCTCGACCACAACGTGCGTGCACATGTTGGCCATGGTTTCGCATATCGAAGACATCCATTATCCAATCAAATGGCAATTCCACGGGATTTTTGACCAACCCAGAATGGAAGGAACTAACACAAAGTCAACTTCTCTCGGGGCAAGCGCTGCGTCAGCAGTGGCATTGCATCAGCACAATAATGTCGACGACGGCAACTTCAAGTGTGTGGATCTCGCGCGGGCACCTGCCGCTTCAGTGTGGAGTCGCTACATTGTTCCTCGATGGGAAATCTAGAAGTTGCCGTGTGGCCAACTCCCTCGACCAACCAAACCCCGTTCACGTCCCACCCGGATCCGTGGTTCCGTCTTCCCCGTTGTGAGATACTTCAAGCCGCGGCAGCGACAATACCTCTCGACGCGAATGGCCAACCCGAACGGGAGAAGCGGTCCGTGGTTCATGACGTGCGTGGGTGGCGGTGGCACGGTTCGCAGGTCTTTCGACCTGCGAACGCGGAATAGAGCGCTCGAAGCGGCAGGAATCGAAGTTGTCCCCCCTGCCGCACATGGCGATCACAACTCAGCTTTTTCTTATTTCGACCCGCAACAATACAATCACGAGATTCAATGTTTGATACAATAACCTAATGATGCGCGAGCAATACAATTCCCACCGCGACTGGTCGTGCGATTGCAGTACAGCCGACGGGTAGGATTTCTTCGCTTCTGGAAGGGCTCGGGTGTCGGCCATCTTGCCGTGAAATCATCATTCCACGCGCGTCGTGGGAGTCAGGACGGGTTCTAGACACGCGCTTTCGCAGTACAGTGCGCCCTTGTGTGGAGAAGCGAGTCGAGGAACGTAGCAGCATGGCAATCCTTCGACTCGACCAAGCGGCGGCCCCTCGGGGGTCCGCCCATCCGCCGCCACCGCCGAAAATACTCGCACATCATTCTCCCCCGAAACGCCTTCGAGTCTAGAACGCGTGTCGTGAATTCCAGCTTGGAATTTGTATGCAATAAAATAAAAATCGCCTCCTGCGCCGAATATTCGTTTTTAACGAGACTTTCGACGTTGCTCACACTGCGTGGAACGTTTCACTTCAAAAATATTTCCCCGGTCTTCTGTTCCAATTATATGGTTCTTCGAGCGCGATTTTTTTTCTCGCCAGCACCCCATACAAACGTCAAGATATGTAGAGCTAGAGCGAAGCCGTGGGAATTTTACAATTCACGCCCATATTGCACCCAGGTTGTTGCTGAACAGTTGACACGAGAGGAGGCAGGGAGGTCGGGGTCATTTCCCAATTGTCGCCCGACCCGTGGTCTGCGCGGCTTCATCCACACTTGACCATCTCCCAGGAACCCTGCAGTCGACTCAACACGATGCAGAACACATCAGGAATCCTGCCCAGCGCTTCCAGCACCGCTGATCCGTCCCCGGCCCCCACGAACGCTGAACCTCAACCTGCTTCCGTGATCTCGTCGACCTCCCCGCCTGCAATGTCCGCCACGGACGCAAACACATCATCTGCCCGAAGAATAGTTGTGCCTCGAAAGACAGTCAAGGGCGAAGACGAGTGTGCTTCTGCGGCGTTGCCTCCCATGATAGCGTCAACAAGGGTCACGTCTCCTCTTGTTGCCGTGGATGAAGAACCGGCAAAGGATTCCATTGCAGCCCCCGTTCAGGGCAACAAACGGCGGTGCTGGACGTGCAAGAGCAAAATTTCGCTGTCTGCTGTGACGTGCCGGTGCGGGTACACGTTTTGCAATCGGCATCGGTACGCGGAGGAGCACGACTGCTTGTTTAACTTTCGGCAACTGGCGAAACGCAAATTGGAAGAGGAGAACCCTCGCATTGTGCCGCTCAAGGTTGCACGGATCAACTAGGCGACGATGACCAACGCGTCCACCGTTAGGGATAGTTATGTATTGCAGCCCCTAGTTGTTGCACCCCTCCACCTCTTGAAGTGAGTTTTATATTTAGAGTTCCATCGCTTGAAGTTGTATCCTCAGTATCCCCCACCAATTCTCTGCGATGCTTCATGTGGAAAGGATGCCAAGCCACGAGATGGCGGCGGCGGTCCAGAGGACTGCGCCATCGCATGCCCGAGGTCGAGTGGTAATCTACTGGCGTCTGCGACAAGCCGTCGCGGGTGGTCCCCTGGGTTTTTTAACACGAGGTAATTGGCTTGGTAATTCCAAAGCGAAAAACCCGTCCGAATTTCGAAGTACTCATGTATAAAACGTGTTGTAAAGACGCGTTTTTATTTACCCGCTGCCGTATCCCAACGTCGTGTCGATGTGCTATGTGTAAAATGTCTCGAATTGAAACCAAAAGGTCAAATACCAGAGCTCACTGATTATTTATTGAAGTATACTTGATGTTATTTGTTTTAATATTCTTCCCTTACCTCACCATGACGTTCGCCGCCATCGTGGTTCGCATGGATATTCCATCGGGATATTCTTTGATGGATCTCCTATACTCCCACGATCTCCTTACCCACGATCACTCCGAGGGCCGTGCCCCTGACCATCATCACGACCATGCTCATGGTCACGACTCCCAAGATGGAGGCGACGAAGTAGTCGAGCGCTTCACACATCGATATGGTCGTGGCCCAACACGTGACGAGTACAGGCAGTTGATCGAGCACGGCCACACGCATGAACACCTTGACCATGCCGGTCTATTTGGCGAGCGCGAACCTGTCCATGTGCACCGGGATTTCAAGGAGCGGGCGTTTACAATTGGCATTGGAGGTCCCGTGGGGAGTGGGTGCGTCCAACGACGACTCCTTGATCAAATGACTCGAGTTGATTCTTGCATGACAGCAAAACTGCGTTGATGTTGGCACTATGCGAAGCTTTGCGTAACACGTACAGCCTCGCAGCGGTGCGATATCGCATGGAACGATTCAAAGTTGATGTGGAGACGCAGGTGACCAACGACATTTTCACGAAAGAAGATGGAGAGTTTCTCGTGGCGCATCATGCGTTGCCTGAAGAACGCATTCGTGCCGTTGAAACGGGCGGGTGTCCACACGCCGCAATCCGCGAAGACATTTCTGCCAACTTGCAGGCGTGTGAAGACCTGTCGAAGCAATTTCACCTCGACTTGGTCCTGGTGGAGTCTGGCGGAGGTGCGTCCCCACCGTTTCGACTCCTGTATTGGCGTCGTAGTCCGTCTCTAAGCATGGCACTGCTTTAGATAATCTGGCGGCAAACTTTAGCCGTGAGCTAGCCGACTACATTGTGTACGTGATTGACGTGGCCGGCGGTGACAAAGTGCCACGCAAAGGCGGCCCTGGCATTACTCAAGCCGATTTACTCGTGATCAACAAAATTGACTTGGCTCGTCATGTTGGTGCGAGCCTGGACGTAATGGCCAGTGACGCGAAGGTGATGCGTGGAAGCGGTCCGACGGTGTTTGCCCAAGTGAATACGCGGGACGGAGTTCCGTCAATTGTGGACCACATCGTCGAGGCATTGAAGGCCGCGACCAGTGCCCCTTAAACTCACCAAACGAAGCGCTGTTTGTGGGTTACATTCCATCGTCGTCGCTGCCGTATCCGTTGTCCATCGTCATCATATCGTCTCTCCACACGGGGGCGGTATCGATTTCTGGCTCGTCGTCGTCGAACGAATCGACACAGTCTAGAGCAGATTTCGCTAATGCTGGAGACGTCGAGATGTCGCGAGGGGGCTTCTTGAACGAGAGGGAGCTGCTTGGAATTGCAGATGGCGCTTCCAGCTACAAGGGGCTCACGTTGGCATGTGCAGGTTGTAACTCAATCCAAGGTGTGGGACCTGTTGATTGTCGGCGACAGCGCCTGCTTTGACGGCCTTTTTCCTCCGCAGAGACTTCTTTTCCGAGGCAGTGTCGATTGGTTTTAGGACCGTCGCAGCGTTCGAGTCCCCGGGCATGGGTTCGTCTTTCGGCGGTGGGTTGTTCGTTCCGACGCGCCCCGCCATGGCGTTAAGCGCTCGTCTTATGGATGAATCGCTGGCTTCGTGGGCATCAGGGACACGATTGTTCGATGGATCTCGTCGGCTCTGTCGCTTCGACCCTTTGGTAGATTGCGATGATTCTTTCAGCGACTCGTGTTGGGGGCTGTCGTCAGCGCTGATACTGCCAGGGGCTTTCACAAGTTTCGCAGGTTGTTTCCGTACGGGCCGCGTGACACTAGCTCGGGTGAACTGAGCGCCACCAGGACTCGGTGGTTTGAGAGCTGTGTCACGAATAAATGGCGCATTGCTGATAGCGCTGTGGGTTTCTCGACTCTGGGACTTGTCCGCTTTGCTTCGCGTCGGCGGGCGGTCGAGCTGGTTCGACTGAAGGGCCAACAACGAAGGCGTCCCGTTGGAGGTGTTGGTGCAGCCAGTCCTTGTGTCTTTCAGCCCCTTGTTCAAACTCGGGAGCTTGACTGTTGACGACGTCATATCTGGAGGGGTGAGTGTTGTGCGAGTCGGAGGCCGCCGTAAGAGCGGCTTGTCCTGCAAGGGCCAACGATGTGACAACCTCAATCGACGACTCTCGCGTGATGCTCTCTACCTTGACAACGTCCAAGAGATTTCGGTAGTAACTAAGCTCGTCTTTGGCGGCGGCGTCGTCGGCTACGACATCGTCTTTTGCTGCTACTATCAGTTGGTGAAAGGTCTGAATATTCAGCCTACAGCGGACATCACGGCATGTCTTGGACATGGTGGATGAGATGGGGACTCGACTTACGTTGCGTCCGGCTGTCGTCCTTGCATGCGCATGCGCCGAATCACGGCCTTGGCGTCGCGGTCGCTGTCTACAGACGGGAGCACCGGCAGTCCCGTTTTCTCCATTTCGTGTGAAAACCCAACGAATGCGGTCCGTGCTGGCTGGAGTAACTGCTGGGGGTACGGCGGTTTCGTTTTCCTCTTTACACGCAGGCGTTTCGTGTTCATGGCTGACGCTGGTCGTGTTGTGCCCGCCGCTCGCTCGACGTGTAGTTGGTCGTCACACTGCAGGAAGGAGGACGCTCGTGGTCGAGAGATCGAAGTTCGGTGGATTCGAGGGATGGCTGCGCGTGGTGCGAAGCTGCAAACGGTGCTTGCCACACATCTCCACACTGACGTTACTTGCGTGAGCGAGTTCAAGGTGGTCGTCTTGATGCAATTCTTCCACTTGTCGGTGCATGATGCGTCCGTGTCGTCAGGATTGTGACGCTGGGATGACATGCGTTGGGGCGAGGAGGTTGATGCCGCAGTGCGGGACAAGCTCGCAGGTCCCCTTCGACGCACGCATGGCTCTCCGACATGTCAAGAATATCGTAGTAGGCTATAGATACCAGCATCCATTGATTGCGCACCAACTTCGTCACATGAATGTTTTATTACTGCGACATTCCATCAAAGATCAGCCATATTCGCCTAGGGAAAGACGCAGCCGAGGACGCTGCCATGAATGTGTCGGCACTCGGCGTCGACCGGTGCGACACATCGACCTGCGTCGTCGTAGCTGCGCAGTTTTCGAAGGCAATCCTTGAAAGCGACGTCGCCTTTCTTTGGGCAGTTGGTGCCACTGCCTCCACAAACAGAGCCAGGGATGCAGTAGGTAGCGTCACCGACGACGCTAACGTCCGTGCAGGGGCGGTCGGGGTCGCGGGTGGGTGCAGGAGTTGGCTCGGGGTCGACGTACTTCGGGTCAAACACGCAGCCATATACAGTCGCGCCAGCACGATGGAGCGGCTGGCACACTGAGTTAAACCGTGCCACGCACTTGTTCTCCGCATGGACGTAGCTCGGCAAGTGCCGGTTGCAGTCAGCGGCAGCCACGTCGCCCTTCTTCGGGCAGGCGCGGCCAAGGTCGCCGCAGATCGCTCCAGGCACGCAGTAGGTCGCATCACCAACGACACTAACGTGGGTGCAAGGTCCCGGGAAGGGAGAGGGCGTGCTGGCGGTGGGAGCAGGAGTAGGAGTGTGTGTTGGGGAATTGGTTGGCAAAACTGTGGGCGACGCCGTCGGGGTCGTCGTGGAAGGAACAGGCGCAGAACTTGTAGTGATGGGAGAAACAGAAGTAGTAGGCGCATCCGTAGGGAAGGGAGCGGCGGTAGAAGTGACGGGTGCAACCGTGGTGGTTGGGGCACTTGTCGTGGTGGGGACCTCCGTGGTGTTGGGGGCGACAGTAGTCGATGGAATCGGGGCCGTCGTCGTCGATGGGATTGGTGTGGTGACTTCAGTTGTCGTGGGTGCTGGAGTTGGCGCAGCGGTCGTCGTTGGTTCGGGAGATGTCGTCGTGGGCACGGCCGACGTTGGCGAAGGAGTCTGGGTAGATTTGTCACAGACTAAGTCGGCCCCGACGCATTTTTGACGGACGGGCGACCCGCATTCGTCTTCAGACTTGTTCTTGCGGCAGATACCGGCACATTGCGAGCCGGCGACCGTGCCGCTGCACACGCACTGCTCCTTACACTCGCTGGCGCTACCGCCGTTGCACGCTCTCAGGCACGACTCGACAGTCGTGTTAGGGTTGCTGCCGTTCGGACGGCATTCTTGGGCTTCGCACGGAAACAGTTCACCTGCGTCAAAGAGGCCGGGATCGGTGCTACCGGTGGCACACACGACAAGCACCGCCGCCGAGATGATGCTGTGTACTGCTCGCATGTCAGTTGGGGACTAGGCAAGCGCTCGCGGCCGCCAAGCGATGTGTGTCACGTTGTCGTCCGGATATCTTGAATGCCGATTGGCTGGGGAATACTATTTATTGTATGTCAAACAAAACTACCGGCTTTGAATTTGTATTTTATTCCAGAATTTCGACCGCAGATGGTAATGCAGTCGCTTGAGCGTTGCTGTGGTTGGAGGTCACATCCGGAAACGGGAATGGCGGCAGAGAACTGGGGAAGCACGCGCCACCTCCTGACTGAGGACACCCATCCTTCCTGCCCTTGTTTGAATCGAGCAGGCCGAAGAACAATGACGCCGTGCTGTCATGGTTGGGTATGGAGCCGGTCCCAATTACCAACCAGAAACCAGACCAAGCCGAACGTTCAGCTCAGGCGGGGAGACATGGCCGTTGTGAGTTTGTAGTTCATATTTGTATGGCCCGTCGTCTTTACAGGGGTGAGTGGAGGCAGAATTTGCCATGTGGCGAATGAAAAAGTACACACGCCACACACAGACTATGCAAAATGATTGGATAAAATCTCGTGGAGGAATCGATTCAAAGAAATTGGTTGGCTAAAATTGTTTATCTTCGCAGAACCATTCTCAAGCTGGAAATCCGCTGTCACAGGGTTTTGTGCGTCGGCGCGGGCGCTCTGGGCCGGAATTCTCAGCACAATGTGTCTCGATGAAGAAGGGGCTGGCGCGTTTCCATGCCTACGGCATCCACACAGAGACGGAGAGGTGTCGGGTGCCCCCGCGACAAAAGAATTCCGTACGCCCCGAAGCACCACAACGCCATGACGTCGAGGGAGTCGAGTTTCCGACAACCCCACCACACGGACCATGTTGAAACCGAATGTGGGAGACGCGCCATGTCGTCGCCCGATGCAATTCGCAAGGTCCTTGCCATGGATGCAGAAAGTTTGACGTGCGTTGTGGAATTGTACGCATCCATGTACACATTGGTATGGCCCCCCCCCGCCGAGCTTCGCCCAAATGCAATCGAAGTTTTCGTTTTTGCGCTGTGCGTTTACACGTTGCCCCTGTAATCGTACAAGCCCACGTCCTCGCTTGCTTCAAGAATGCCAAGCAGGCACTGACCTTTCTTCTCCCCTGTGACGCCAGTGTTGACTCCCATACACAGTGCCTGCCATCCATGCCCCGACCCCCCCTCGTGCCCGAAACACTTGAACCAATGCGCGAGACGGTTGCAGAGGTCGCGGGTTGCGTACTTGACAACTCTCTGGGGCGGTCATTGCGTCGAACGGAATAAAAGAGCGTGCTCCATAACCCTGTGTGCCTGTGTGGCTGGCTTCGTGTGCCATAACATCGCCAGGGCTTCGCTGAACGAATGACGTGTCTGACCAGGCTTGGAAACTCCTCAAGGCGAGAGGGGGTCGTCCACTTTGACCGGTGTCTGTGGTCTTTGCAGGGTCATGGCACCTTTCGTTCCACGAAGGAGAATCCCACGAAGACAGAGCGCCAGCGATCGCCCCGTCAACGCAAACGTGCACGACTGAGATGGGTAAGTTCAATTGAATCAACCCGTGTATTCGTTGTGCAGAACGTGTACAAACATCGCCGGTTGCGCCGCGGGTCGAGTCGTTGCCGGCTTGTATGCTACACGCGAGTCGCTCGTTGAAAAGTATGAGAGTCGTACGTCGCATGCATCCGTAATCACATTTCGTGACCAACCCGTCGATACGTAAACAGCAACTTCGCGCAGCGAATCCACCACGAACGTCGTTGCTCTCGGCGCAACAACGTTGCCGCCGCCTTCCATACACAGCAGCAAGATCAAGGGGTACGCACCAGCGTTCGAAGTGAATACCCCATGCAGCCCACCAAAAGGGTCACAGGGGAGGTGTGTGGTCCTGCCAGTAGTTGGCTGCAAACAGGCACCACTTCAAAAACTGGTCGCCCCCCAACCGTCCTCTTCCCCTGTCAGGGGGGACATGGCATGTGGCATGTCACGCGGAGCACACTCTTTTGTGCATGTAGAACGCAGCAGACATTTCTCGTTGGCTGTGCAGCAGGGCGCGAAGAGAGGGAGGCTCATCACGATACAAGGACCAGCGAATTCCGCAGGCGATTTCGCTCCATCTCGGGACGCCGCGTTGCGTCCTTGCTTGGTCAGCCGACTAAATGCGCCCGCATTTAACGATTCCTTCTAGAACTTCGTCCGGATACGATAGCTGGGCACTCAGGATATACTCCGGAGTATACGGCAGGGGGGCGAAGCGTATCCGGATGGTCCCAACATGCCACGTTTTCTTCGAATTTACCAGGGCTTTTCTTGCGAGTATACTGAACGCAAGATACTGAGCTTCTATGGCCCTCCGCAAAGAACTGTTACTTTTCGTTTTCGCAGCGCCCGACCAAGTCACTTCCGTCGTCGTCGTCGATCGCACGAACCATGGCTTTAAAGCGCATCAACAAGGAGCTTCTAGACCTCGGGAAGGACCCCCCTGCCAACTGCTCGGCCGGTCCCGTCGGTGATGACTTGTTCCACTGGCAAGCGACTATCATGGGCCCAGAAGACTCCCCGTACTCGGGTGGCGTGTATTTCTTGAACATCCATTTTCCCGCAGATTACCCGTTCAAGCCGCCGAAAGTCAACTTTACGACGCGCATTTACCATTGCAACATCAACGCCAACGGCGGGATCTGCTTAGACATTTTGAAGGACCAGTGGAGCCCTGCCCTCACTATCTCCAAAGTGCTTTTGTCCATCTGCTCGCTGCTGACGGACGCCAACCCAGATGATCCGCTTGTTCCCGAGATCGCCCAGATTTATAGAACAGACCGCTCCAAGCACGACGCGACTGCACGAGAATGGACTGCCAAGTACGCCATGTAGACTGGTACTTGGTGCAAAGAAATGTAGTCAACGGGTCAACTTGTTTGGGCGTTTGTGAGTGAAGGAGAACAGCAAGTGGTGGTGCTATGAATGTGTGGGGCGGAGTCGTGTGGGTATCCCGACGGAGTCATCAAGTCTACTCACCACGACTCGCTCGTGCACACTTTTAGCTGACCTGCATTGCTTCTGCTCAATCATTTAAACTCGACTAAAAACTTGATCCGATGTCGCCGAGTGCACGCATCGCACGAACCCATCCATGATCAAGCACCAACAGCGAGCGGCGACACCACCAGTGTGACAGGAATTTGCTCAGATTCCTAGGCGCTGCGATCGTTCCTCGCGCATGAAGGTGTGATCTTCCAACGGACAAGGGCATGCTGCATGTCTCCCGATATTCTGCCGCCACATTTCCTCTGTGCAGCCATCGAAATGACGTGAGACTTTCTGCGACGAGATCACCGGATAACATCCGGATTTGGATCTGCAAAAGGCGATGGGAATGATGGCGCAGGCTGACGTTGCACGAGGAGCGCAGCCATGGCGCCTGGAGCGGCGGATCGACGATGTTAACGATAGACTTCGTGCGCTGGCCCTCAAGAACTACCACGTGTTCGTTCAAAACCAACAGTGCGCCCAAGTGGTGACGACAGAGCTTCAATCGCTTAGCGAGAACGTCACGATGGTGCAATCGTCGTTGCCGGAATTGGTCGCACAAAGCAAGACAATGGACACGACTGCACAGGAGGCCGCAAAGAATAATGCCGAGATTCAGTATGTGTTGAGCCAGTATGCCAGCATCATGAACCTGCTTGAGATCCCGCACCTGATCGACGGCTGCATTGCCAACGACCTTGCCGAGGATGCGTTGGAAACGATCCAGTTTGCGAAGAAACTCCTCGAGCAAACGTACGTCACGTCAGCGCAGCAGCATACGACCTGCCATGGCCCCTCGACCATCGTTCGCACCTTGGTACGAAAGTGCAGCGTGCTTCGTGGATGTCATGTCGGCATAGGTTGCCGAAGTCAAGCGTTCGACGTTGTCACTGCGGGCGAAACTCGTTGAAAAGTTGAGAGGAGAGCTGCCGCTGGCGAAGTGTTTGCATTTGGTTGCGTACTTACGGCGCGTGGACGGGCTGTGGTCGCCGCTTCCCATCGACTACGATGACCAGCTGAAGCAGGAGTTTTTGGAGTGTCGGGATGCATGGCTGTCCAAGACGATTCAGACCATTCCCACTTCGGACTCATACAATTATGTATGCTCGAACACGTCGGGGTTCCACTCACGATGTGGTTGGTAGCTCATGCAAGTCGTGGATGCGAAGCGGTCGAGTTGGTTCGACTTGATCACGCAATTCTCCGCTATATTTGGCCACCAGGTGCATGCCATTGCGGTGTGTGAACTCGATACCTCGACTGATCGATCGACCTTCGAGTAGGAAGTGCATGGTCGCGCGGACGCCGCCCTCAGTGCGTGGGCCTTGCGGACGGTGTCGGATTTGATGCGACTTCTGGAAACGTACGTATCAAGTATCCAGTTTGGTGCATCATGCAGCTAAGTGCACTTCGGCGATGATGCAGGGTGCTGCCGAACATTGTGGAACTGAGCGCGATTGCCAACATAATGGAGCAAGTGCTCTTCTTTGGCGGGTCGCTGGGCCGCGTCGGGGTCGACTTTCGAGGTCGGGCGGACAAATTGCCAGGAAATGGCACGTAAATTGAATGGATCTGGGGGTTATGTAGGCATTGTTCTTGTGATTTTTCAAGCACACCTTATGACGCGACTGACTGCCCAGTGGACCGATGCTGTCGCCGACTTTGAATCGGCTTTGGGTCTGGCAAATAGTGCGCATGGCTCGCGCACCCAAACCATCACGACCCCCCTCATGATCCATTCATTTCGGAATCTTCCACAGCCGCCTCCAGGTGACCAGCATGGTGTGAGCTCGTCCATCGACATGGAAGAATCGTAAAGCCATGCAACCAACTGATGTGCACGTGCGCAATTCTCGTAGACTCGTCGGTCGCCCCCCAGTCCATCATGGCCTTCCCAGCCCTTGCGCAGCTCACGAACGGATTCCTGACATCCTTCAACGATTTACGGTGCGCTTGGTTGATCACTCGGCGCGTGTAAACCTCTCCTGGAAAGGCTGTGCGCATTAATGTCCATCCGGTATCGTCTGTCGCTGCACCTGCAGCACGTCATGACGCGAGTCGTCGAAGCGCTGTGTAAATTCTGCCACCAGCACGCGGTGGCCCCCACGGAAGCGTCCATGGACACTGCTGCAGTCGGCAAATTGCCCATGGAGTTTCAAGTGTTGAAACTGGCACAGGTGCTTGATGAATGATTAAGTCTGAGCTGGCGACTCGACGAGGAATTCTACGACTGTCGTAGGTGCTGCACACGGACTGGATCCCGTACGTTGTGGGCTGTTTCGAGAAACTCTTCACCCAGCAAACGGCATCGCCCTTGCCAACTGCTCTCAACCCGGTACGAGGTTTGTCTAGCCCATCTCGTTGTCACAGAGGTGTGGATGGCTGTTGTAGGATGCGTTGGAAGCGCAAATGCGGGCCGCCAACCTGCTTCCTTCGGCACCGCATGCTGCTTTGAGCGATGTAGTGCCCACCTCTCCTATCGTTCCGGGAGGCACTGGAAACTCGTCCATCCCTCACGGAGTGTCCATGGAACGGCCTTAAAATAGAAATGCAAAACTGTGGAGGTACTTTTTTTCAATACACGTCGTCCAACCTCCAAGCAATCGCACGATGGCATCGGCATGGAGTGACGGACCACAGCACGAAACGAGCCTGCCTCGCCGCAAGAAATCGCTCGAGTTGGTGCTGGACGACGAAGATGCTGAACATCCGTCGGCCACGAGCGAGAAGGGCGGCGCAACGTCCCCTGACGCAAACGGGTCTGTCATGCCTCTGGGCACGGCCATCACGATTCGAAATAGCGAACGCCCTGCAAGTGAAATCGCCGCCCCAGACTACATTGACGACTTGGTTCGCGAGTTTTTCCGGGTGCATCAAATCACGGCGGCGCTCGACGCGTTTGCATCCGAACGAGTCGGGTTTCTTTTTTCGGCAACTCCACAAGGAGTTCACGCTCGTTTTCCTTTGTGTAGCCCGAAGGCCGACGCAACGTGGACGCGATTACCGTCGAGGATGAAAGGCTTCTTGGTCACAACAGCGCCATCTTTCGAGCGGGTTCGTCCCCCCTGGTGCTAGGATGGGTAGGGCACGTGACGATCGTTTCGGTAGAGCACGGCATCAGCCGGTTGGAAGCGTTCGTTGTGTCGTGGAACCAGGTGGAGCATGCGATGGAGTTGCAGACGGCACGCCATGAGACGGTATGTGTTGCGACGATGGCGACCTCATCGATCTCGGTTGGTGATGCAGAAGCCCATTAAACCCAAAAAGAAAACGCCGCCGACATTGACGATCCAGGCGGCCGCGGTGCCAGAGGTGAACGACGCAGTCGCTCCAAAGGTCGCTATGTGGGATATGGGGGCTCCAGGATGCACCCCCAAGCCCCGGGTCCAAGATCTCAAGTCGTTTGGCTTTGACGACGTCGATGATCTCTCGAATGCGTCGGCAATGACCGTCGGGTTGAGTCCCGTTCTGGACAAATTCAAGCCTCGTACACGTTACTCGAAGAAGGTATCGATTGGTGAAGCCGGGGCGACGCCCAAGAAGGAATACATTTTTTACCGCGAAACGCCGCCGTCGTTTGTCACGGAGAGCGAGGAAGCTGCGCGCGAAGTCATGGAGAAGCTATCGCACGATCCGCTGTACGCGATCGTGCCCGCCGAGGCGCAGCAGCGATTTGTCGAGCTCTCGAGCAGTGACGTTGGGAAATACGCCATCGGCAAGGTGCGGTGGATTTTGCCTGGTTCCAACTTGCCCATTTCCCGCTGGAATCACCTTGGTGGACCCAACTGATGCATGCATGTAGCGGGTCGACGGGCTGGGGGCAGCGCGATCCATCTCTGGCGTCGTGGCAAAGAAGTATGGAAGCAAGCAGTGCGGGACGAGTGGTCCAGGCACGATCGTGATCGATACACAGGTGCCACCCCTCTGACGCTCGTCAAGCGTCCAACTGGTTGGTGTTGTACTGGCTAGCCCGACGACGACACCAGCTCTTCCACTGCACCCCCTCCTACGACGTTCTCCGCCGAAGACGAAGCCTTGATTGACTCCCTGCTGGATGCCCAATGACAACGGAAACCAACAAACGATGCCGCGCTCTCGATATAATTCATTCCCAATCACGTCTTCTACTCGAGCGGTGGGTCCATTGTCTCGACGTCGTTCTGTCCAAGGGCAGTAAATGCCGGCGACTTGGCGTTCGTCACACGTGTGGCTTGAATTTCGTGGTGCTGAAAAAAATAATTCGCCCACAGTTTGAGCGCTTGGTGGCCGGTCCATACCCACAGCGGGCCGTGGACTGGGGTGTAGTCTGGGTTGAGAAAGAACGACGACGCGGCGCAGAGCGGCGTCCACACTGACACGGTCCGAGCCTCGACGTTGGCGAGTTTTCGGTGCTGGTACGAGTCGTAGACAAACGTGCCGTAGAGACCAGACGTGAGGGCGTTGGCGACGTGGAGTAAGCAGTGTTCGTTGAACTCGAACGCGTTGGGAAACTGCGCCACCATTTGGTACACGGCGTCGAGAAACTGAAAAAACACGGGCGACATCTTGTCGCGCATCGGGTCTTTGCCGCGGTTGCCGCCCAGACGCTCCATAAACTATCCAGGCAGGTGAGAACGGGACGGCGGGCCACATTCGCCACGTACCTTGTGGCCAAAGAGGCACCAATCCTTCTCGACAAGCGTGGCAAACCCATGCAACGTGCGGTAGTACGGATCCAGCATGATCTGGGCGAGGCACACGAGTTGACAAGTTCGGTCCCATCCGTCGCTGCAGTGAACCAGTGCCGACGCGCCTTCGACTTCGAGCACCCGTGCAATGCGCGACGCTCCGTCCAGAATCAAATGCAAGTGCTCAAACCATCGCGTCGCCTACAACACGTCAGCACGTGGCAGCTCGAATGTGGACAGTCGCTGCACCGAAACCAGCGCATACGGTGGCAACGAATACAAAAGGCGTACCTCGACAGCAGACCACCACGTTTTGTCGTACTCGGGGACGATGCATATCTTGGCGAGCGCTACAGAGCAGGAGGTTATGCTTTGGCATGTCGTCGACGGCGGCAAGGCGGTACCTAGGTACGAGCTCTGCATCTTGTACATGTTCGCAATGTCCAAGTGATAAATGATGGCACCGTCGTAGTTTTCGGACGTTTCGACGCCGCCTTTGCCCATGAGGCGATTCCCCGTCGCCGCTTTCGACTTGCGCGCGTCAAAAATGTAGAACGGCTTGGACGTGCCGGGCAAGTTGCGGTAAAACTTGACAATGCTTTCGTCCATGTTGCACGACGTGCCGCTCAGGATGCGTCCGAGCAGCGGCTGCGACGACCGCGCGAGGACAGAGTTGTGTACAGGGTGGATCCACGTGACAACGGGAAGTCGGTTCTTGGCACGGAACCCAGCGGCACTAGCGATGCTGCTCTGCGACAGCGCAGCGGGCAACACGAGCGTCGGCGGGTACGAGTCACACACGTCGCCGTTCTCGTTGTCGATACACTATCCATCAGCTCAGCGTCATGCTGTCGTTCGCGGCGACAGAAGGACCACATTGCCCAGCGCACGACGACGACGTCGGCAGTTGTGTGCTTTACCTGAAACTCTGCATTGTCCCGCAGCCCGAGCCGATCGTACTCGCGCGAGATGGCGGCAAACTGCCAGCCGTCGATGGGAAAGTTTGTCATGGCGTACGAGAAGGCAAAGTGGGGGATGTCGACGACCGCGTCGGGCGTGGTGGGGGTCGTGAGGAAGTGCACGGGATTGTTGCGTTGAGTGCACTCGGCGAGGCGATGGACAAGCGCATGGAGGTGCTCCACTCGGTCTTCATCGACATCCAGCCGCAATGCTCGAACGTCTTTGCATGTGAAGGCGAGCGTCGTTTGGAGACGATTCGTCGGGTCTTTGTTGAATCCGTTGACGACGCCCCTCAGCACGGACACAATCGCAAACAACGGCAATTCCACCAGTGCCGGGCAATTTTCTTCCAGCGGCAAAAACAGGAGCCGGTAGTTGGTCACCATGACAATGCCTCGGACGTGGCAGTCCCCGGCGAGCACGGCCGTCGCTGGGAACCGAGACATGTGCATTTTGCGCTCGCCCTTGAGGAGCGGGACGAGCGGCAGACGTCTCGGAACCACGTGGGGATGGGCGCGCTTGTATGCCTCGACAAGCGCACAAAATTCGTCTTTCAGCGCGTCCGACGCAAATTGGTACACAACGTCGGACCGATGCACAAAGCAAAGCCGGACCGCATCGCTGACGATGCTCTGGACGTTGAAGTCGGCAAAGCGGGAGCTGAAGTTTGTGCCTCGCATGATCGATGTCACACGGATAACGCCGTGGTGGGGATGCACGTTGAGTCGATACCGGTCGGAAGCCTTGCGAAAGAGCGTAACGTAGTAGGACGTAGTTTGCGCGGAGGCCGCTGCCTCGGACGATGGCCCTCTGTCTTCGACCTCGAGCGTTGGATCAAATTCGTCGTGGGAAGGTTTATGTTGCTTCGATGGCGATGTGTCGCTGCTGCTTGCTGTCCGACTATCGGCTTCGTTGGTGGTAGAAGCGCCGTCCGGTGGGTTTTCCCTGGCGCCTTCATCCTCGAGATCGGGATGGACGCCTTCGTCATCCGTGGCAGCTTCATGTGCGATGTTGTCGGCGGTCAAAGGATTCAAGTCATCGCCATCATGGCTGCTGCTGAGCAGGGACACGACATTCGGCATGTCTTCATGCGAAGGAATTGCATCGAGGAGTACCATCAACGAAAGGATCGACTGAATCGCTTGAGCCGGCACGCCGCACTTCTTTTCAGTGAGATGGGTCTTGCTGGAACGCAATAAAGGTTGCGTCGATTTGCGGGAGGTACACTCGTCGGCCAAGGACAGCATTGGAGGAGCCGATGGCGACGGTAGCGACGATTGAAGCGGCGTCGGCCCGTCATTGCTGTCACTCTCGTTCGAATCCATATCGTCGTGGTACTCATAATGCGCGACAATGGATGCGAGGACGTGCTTGAGCTTGCCCATGATGATTCCGGCGGTGGTCACCGCAAGGCGTGTGGTCGGGCCGACAGCCGCCAGGATCTCGTTCTTAATGGCATGGGGGAGATGACCTTCATCGGTGGCCACGTCGACCGCGGTAAGGAAGCCTACGCAAAGACGCATTTCGCTTCGCTGCAGAACAGCACAAACGGCATACTGTTGAGAGATGCGAGGTACGATGTGGGGGCGACGGCCGCAGGGGGCTACAGAAGCGCCTCAGTACGAGCCAGCAGTCATGCACCAACCGCGTCGTCCGCCTGCGGTCGAATGTGCTCCTCAAACTTGGCGTTCATGAAGTCCCTGAACCATGCGCAGCACAAGTTGCACACCTTGACGGTGGCCACGTCGTCGTAGCCAAAACATCGCGGTACTTGTCGGTGGGAAATGCACTTGCCACAAAAGAGAAAGCCGCACGTCGCACCTACCAAAGCGGCGCATGATTCACTCGATGCACGATGCGAACGTAATGTACAATTGGTTTCTCGCGACAGGAGTGCAAATTTCTTGCCGCATGATGAGCATTTGGCTGCATGGCGCTTCATGTCGGCTCCGATGCGTGGAATGCCAGCATCTCCGACCAGCCGTTGGTATTTCATTAAGAGGGCTTCGAGCTTTGTTGCGACAGTCGTCGCAGTCCTGAGGGTCGCGGACAGGATAGCCTTGTCGTCCTTCTCGAGGCCTTGGCCGTGTGCTTCGTAGAGCACTTTGAGCGTTATGTCGGCGTTGATCAGGGATGATATCGCCACGCTGTCCTTGTTCGATGTGCTGAATGTCCTTGCATTGTACCCAAACTTTGCGCGGGGCGTCGGCTTCATCGGCGGATGCCTCTTGCCTCGGTGCAGAAATGAGGTGCTCGTCGCTGATTCGCATCCTCTCATTGGTTGAAAAGATGGATTTTTGACGCATTTTATTGGGCATGGATCGGTCAAGCTGCAACTGCCGTTAGAAACGGCGACGCCGAGCTTCGGCCAGCCGGCTGGGAGGAGTTCGGGTCAGCTCGTTTCGCAAGTGGGCGAGCCATCCGCCGCCGCGACGCCCCCTCGCTGAGACCGCCATGCGTGGGGCTGGTGGATGGATGCCGGAGTTGTCCATGTTCGGTCGAATGGACGCATGTTCCGGACCGATGGAAGTGGCTGTGACGGCTCATGCGCGCCTTTGTTGCGTGGTTCAGACCTCGGCCGCCCACAAGCTTCTGGCCCTTTCAACACAAAGTAGCATTGGTTACAGTAGGCCAACCATGTGCCCTCGCATAGCCCGCCTTCCCCCTTTCAATGCTCGACCAAACGGAGTAAAAATCGACGCCGTCGGTGCTATGCTGCTCCGGCGAACCGAGCCATCTCCGCGCCATCTGACAAAACTCGGGCACGTTCGTGGGACGCATAATCAAGCAGAATAGCTCTGCCTGCGCCAGTAGGTGCACCATACACTTGCCGACGGCGCACTCTCCGCTCTGCGCTGCCGAAATCCTTCTCTGTGACGGAGTGCACCTCCTGGAATCTGCCTCGCGCTGGATAGCCAAGCTACTTGGCTCGTCGCATGAAGGCTTTGGCGCGCCAAGCAGCACAACGACGTCGAGCGGTGCATCAGTGCTGCCCCGTCCATCCGTGTCGGCACTCAACATAGTCACAACTCGTCACTACTTCGCAGCCCGACCCCAGTCGACCACGTTTGGCACAGGATCACGAATGCTCCATTGCACGCAAACGCCAGGGGTCCAGCCCAGCAACCTGTGCGAGCATGCGACCTTCAAGGACCTCCGCGCTTTCCTCACCCAGCACGAGCAAATCGCTTGCACCCGTTCGTGCGCTCCTTGTCCGCCGCCACGGGGCGCCGGGTTTTGTTATCGTATGTTGCCTGTCTTGGGTAATCCATGGCACATCCTGCCCCACAATCCTGCGAATGCGACAATTCCCCCCAGAGGCCACCCGTCGTTTATTCGAGGCTTTGTTGACAACGGGGGTAGTTGGAACATTCTCCTCGACCCAAGGCGCTTCCATGGCGGCAGTCTCATCGCAGTCCGCGGCTGTTGTGACGAAATTGGGGCGCCATCAAAATTCGCCGCAGCCAGCTGGCGCGAGACAGGCCGCTCACATCTCAACCCATACAAACACCCATACGAATCGCTTCAACAGGGGGGCACGTGGCACCGAAACCCGACTCGCCGTCACCCAACGACTTCGCCATGTGGTGATGTCGGGGGGGGGATGCACATACGTGCGACCCCCCCTTCGCACATGCCACGTGTTCCGCGGACGTCAGGGGGAATCGCACAAGGCATGGCATTCTACTGCCGAAGGCGGGGGCCTGCCGACACGACGACTATCCCGAGCCCCCGACCAAGCTACTCTGACAGTTCCTTGTTGCCCCAGACACCCAGCTCCGTTCGTCATCGCCCTCGCCGGTCGCTGCATTGTAGCGCTCTTCGCTCTCGCCGAGTGGGACGGCGGACTGACTCGCGACGGTACGGTAATGGCTATCAGGGCTGGTCGTGTCCTGGCTGGTTGAAGTTGGCTTTCCCGCAGCCAGCTGGCCCATCCGCCGTGAACGAAACGAGGCTATCACACGAAGCGAAAGATGGCGGCAGGGCCAGCGTGCCCTTCAACCGTCCCATACAACGTCCAAGTGCATATCTCAAGTGCCTCGCCCCGGCAAAGTGGCACAGTGGTCCGAACGCTACTGGACTTGGACGATTCGGCCCGGCCAGCCCACCCAGTGTACAGGCACCCCTCCAAGCGGGGGGTATCTCTCGCCCGAGGCGGCGCTGTGGTCCGTGGCAAAGGTGCGCGCGTCCCCCGCTCGATCGGGTGCTTCCAAGGTATACACGGCTGCGACACGATCGTGTCTCGCCTCTTGTGGCGAGTGTATCAGGGCACCTTCCCCCCCACCCCCTGGAATCACATCACGGCCAGCCTTGGGTTCGCTGGCAGAGTGGACATGAGATTATTCAGAGGGCGCAGCTGGTGGGGGGGAACGGCAAGTTCAACGAAACCCGGCGCTTCACGAGTTTCAGTCACTACGGTACTTTGTTGACAGTTGGGACACCACGTCGAGCGATCATTTTCCAAAACAGTGTGGGGGGCCAAGATATGTTCCAGACGTGGGTCCATGGCATCTTTCATCCGGCACGGCAGGTCCAGTCGTGCCCAGAGCCAAACCCGCGTCGCCGCGGCGACTCGGCCTTGTTGGACGACGACGTTTTCGCGCCGTCGAACCGGGCACGAGCCAACACGCTGGACGACATGACGACTTGTCGCCGCCGGTCGGATGCTGCCGTATCCGCGTGGGACAGCAAGCGGCAACTGTGCCAGAACTGCAAACGCATTTTCCTCAAGTTTCTTAGCCCGTGCACCGCCTATTGCTCCCTCGACTGCCAGTCCAACGCGGCGTACTTGGTCGCGGTGTCGGAAGGCATCCGAGCGGCAGCACAAACCATCGCCACGCCAGAGACGGACACCACGGTCGACGGCGCGTCGTCCAAGCCAATGTCCATGGCTGCAGTCCCGTTTGGAACGACCGAGAACGGGCACGTGCCCGAGTCCGCTATCGAAGGCTGCTGCACCCAGCTTTCCTCCGCAATGGCAATGTCGCAGCCGAAACGCGTCGCGGATGACCAGTGTCCCGTCGGCACCAGCCCGACGACTCAAGGGTCGTACTCGTCCACGATCGACTTTGACCAGTACACCGACGACGATGATGACGACTCCGACGACTCGCTCGAGCGCCACACGTATGCGGACTTTTACACGGAAAAGCTCCAGCTTGCCCGTCGAGTCGAGTGGAATTTCAGCGCGCTGTATTAGCGTGTGCCCCTTACTATTTAGTGCTCCCAATCGTATTTATTCTCCTGCTAATGTTATGAACGTCATGTTCCTGCAAACCCGTCAGTCGATGCGTGTAGTCGGAGCCACAGCATGGCGCACAACAAGGCGGCGAGAGTGAGGAAGGAGGTGGGGGCGAGCGCAAAGTTGAGTGCGTTGGACGGCGGGTCACCATGATCGAGGGGAAGGTTGGCAGGCGACTGCGGCCTCTCCACTTCCGCTGTCGCCAGGACGCCTGCATCCTTGTGGGCAGCATCTTCTAGCCATGTCGCAGTTTCACCGGCAACCCTCGGCTCACTTCCCAAAACGTCGTGCGCATTGGCGACGCAGTCCGCGAGCGACTCGTGCGACTCCAACACGTGCAAGATGCCGTCGAATCCGACGGGAGCGCCACCAAGCGTCCATGCAAACTTGGCTCGACGAGGCAGCGCCACCGTTGGGCGCCTGGACGATTCTATGCAACCAACCTCCCGTCAGCGTACACACGGCATGCCCTTGATCTGGCGATATTCTCACACCCGACGCAATCCAGTACGCCACACGCAGCTCAAGAATCGACGCACCGCCTCCATCTGTCGTCGCGCGCTCTTGCTGCATGGCCAGCCGCCTCGCGATGCTGCGAACGCAGTCCTCCCCCAGTCGCCCTCCCGCGACGTCGACTGGATTTTTGGCCTGTAGCTGGAAGGGAGCCACCCTGCTCCATAGCAATCAAGGCTTTGTACCTTGTGATGCACATATGCAACGCAAGAGATGTTTCCTTGTACTGACTGCAGGTTGACCGGTTGCGCGGTGTCCACCTCACCTACTTTGTCATCGCGACGGCCACATGGCGCCGATGCCAAAGACCGCAGAAACGTCACGTGAGTCTTGGACGCTGCAAGGCAAATGGCGCTTTCGAGCTCGCGATGGAGCCGCGCTGTAAGCGAAGATGCCGATCGAAACGGTAGTCTCCCGACAATGCTCGTCACGTCGATAGTGGCGGTGAACCTTCGCAACGACATGATAGCTACATCACGCTGCCATTTGAAGTCGCGGAGAACCATAGCGTTGTCCTACGAGGGAGCAAAGCCAGGCGAAACCCAGTTGATGTATGATGCGGATGTTGCGTCCGCACAACAACAACTTACCTTGTTGAAATGTTTGATCGAGGGCGGCACACCGGGACAACTCACGGCAACGTATTGAACGCAGTCGGCGTCGTAAGCTTCACGTAGCGTGGTCTTCTTTAGGCTCGACACCGCATGACGCAACGCGTGCATGTGCCGTTGCAGTTGGAGTCCTCGCAATGCTGCACGGTCCTCTGCTACAACGTATAATCCAACGCAGTCGATGCCCTCAGGAAGGTATCCAAGCACTTGTGCGGCGTGAAGCACCATCCACTCAATTGAGACATCGCGCAGGTGCGTCAGCCTGGCGCCTTCTTCTCAACGCCGACGTGAATGGACGAAATCAACGTGGGTACAGAAACCAACCGACCTTGTTCAGGAGGCGTGGTCACTACAGTCAAGATGAGGTCGCTGAGGTTGGTTGGAGCTCGATGGCCGAGCAAGAGGCCAAATGAAAACCCGATCACGTTTCCCATGTACGCTTCAATCCTGTCATCGGCAACGCAAGGCGGCGGCTTTCGTGCGCCCATGCTGTGTGTTCGATGCGACAATCTGTGGTTGTCAAGAAAGCCATCCATTGGTCCAAACAAGAAGCTTACACCAATCAAAAGCGCAAAAATGCAGATTACCATATTTTATTAACCAATAGATATTGATTATGGACCTAGACAGGTGAAACTTGTGAGAATACTCAACATGACAACGAATTCAGCGTCAGTCGGACTTCGATTATCGTTGGTGGCCGAAAGCAATACGATATGATTTTAGACGGTGGTGGCAGGAAGTATGCGCGATGATCTGCGCGGGTGCGCGCCGCGCGGCAGGGGGAGTGGGGGCCTCCTTGCAGTACTCAAAAGAACGCGGACGTCATTTCTTGAATCGTGGACGTAGGCGGGCGGTACACGTCGGGCAAGAGTTTTCGCTGGATCGAGTTGAACGCGTACTCGAAGCGACCAGTGTTTTTCATAGCGATCGCGATGCGCACGCCGTACTCGCGCATGATGTTAGCGATCGGCTTGATAACTTCTTGGTCTTCCGTGCTAGCGTTCGAGTTGGCGGACCGCTTCGAGTAGAGCAATCGTGCCTGCTCCAGGGTCGCCGACAGGGCGGTATGGTCGACGCCGGTGGGACAGCACGTGACTCGCATCCCGTTCAACTTGCGCACGATGTCGGCTGCTTCTAGCAGCATAAGCGTGTTGGTCGACGTGTTGAGCGCTTTGTTGTACTTGGCATTGCGCCCGACGAGGGGCATGAGCGAATCGAGCATCGTCTCATTGTTGAGGCGATGGCGCATGTGGACATCCATTTCTTTCTGCATGTCCAAAAATGCGCGGTGGTACCGCTGCAGCGCTTGGAAACTATCGCGATTCACCACTCCCTGCAGCTGAAACCCCGACGAGTTGACAAGACTCGCCAAGTTCTGCATTTCATGCAGCCCTTGGGTGAATATGACGGTGTGAACTTGAATCTTAGCGTGCTGCAGACGTCGCGGCAGCTTGTGGTAGATCAATAGCGGCACGACGACTTGGATCGTGGTCGGGGTCGGGAACGAAACCCGTGCTGCGGTCGTGCCTTCCGGGACCAACGTAATCGAGTACATGTCGAGGGCCTTGACAGCGACGAACGTGTCGGAGAGCATGCGCTGCTCCTTTCCTTGCGCAAACAGAATGCACTCCCACCCGACGAGGAACCCGATGCGAGCGAGCTGCTCCAACTCCATCGGGACATCCACGACCGACTCGAGCTTGGCGAGGAACGCCGCCACGAGCACCGTGACACTTTGCGACACACATACGACCTTTCGAAACACATACGTTGCTTTCGTCTGTTCCCATTTCGTCCACAGCGCCGCCGTTTGGGCAGCCGCCGCCGCAGGGGAATCTCCCGTCAAGTCCCGCGACGACCGGCCCCATTCCATCGATTCTGTCCGGACGCGGGATTTCACCCAGTCGATCGAGTCGCTCCGGACCTTGGACATGCGCTTGGCGGTTGCGTCGAACGATGCAGAGAGCTGCAATCCCCGTCGGGCTGACCGGGTCAAGACGCTGGTGCTTGTGTCGCTGCCGACCGTCGACGAATCGTCGTCCTTGAGCCCGCTGTCGCCACTCGACCCATGCGAACTCGATCGATTTTCGTCCATGGTGGTGGACGTTGTGACAGCGTCATCGAGGCTCAAAATGTCCGATTTACGACCGCTCATCAGTAACGACGACGATGAGGCACTGCTTCCTTCGGCCCCCGGCGGCGGAATCACTTCCATTTGGAGCAAATGGCGGAGCTGTGTCGCAACTTGAACTAACTCGTCTTCAAGGTCCCGGAGGCCGACGATCGGAGTTTGGTCTGGGAGGGCGTCTGCCGAGGGGGTCGCGCACGACACGATTCTGACGGCCGAGTCGACGACCAACGCGCCGACTTCAGGTCGACTCGGCCCGGTCGAGGTGAAGTCAATCGAGACAGATCGCTCTTTCTTGCGCTGTTGCCGGAGCTCGTCCTGGAGCGTGGAGAGTTTGGCGCCGCGTCGATTGCTTGGCGTGGTCTGTGTGGGTGTATCGGGTGGGTTGATGAATGCCGAAGTCGAGTCGTTCAAATCCATCGACATGGACCGCATGCGCTGCAGCGGCGTTGCGTCCTGGCTCGTGTACAGTCGAAACGTCGACAGACACAAGTTGGTTGGCATCGCTTGTGTGTCGCGCTTCTCCTTGGCCGTGCTCGCCTTGAACAGCACGTGGTTCTCGTCCAGGAGCTGGGCAAGGCCCATCATCTCGCGCGCCTCAGCCACTTGAGCCTCGAGCGCCATGAGGTGGGATTCGAGGAACCCCGATGCGTACAGCATGTCCTGTGGCGGATGCAGATCCTGGAGCACGCGGTCCATGCCAGGGTCGTGGCACCGAAACAGACTGTTGGGACGCTCGTTCGTCCGGGGAGTTTTGGTTTCGTACCGAAGTTGCCACAAGTCGAGGCTCGCTTGCAACTCGCCGACCATCTCTTTGAGAAACTGAGCCGGGACGCTCGCGTGGCTGTCGACTGCCTCGGCTTCCTCGGTCGCAATTACAGGTGTCGAGTACTCGCCGTTGTAAAAGGCATAGGCTCGCATCATATTGTCCTCGGTGCCAAACAGGACGTGCTTCTGCGGTACGACTCGAGCAAACTTGACAGTCAACACGGGGGCCACCTTCTTGACCGCGTTTTTCGACGTGTTGGACGTCGTGAGCAGCTTGAGTGGGAGATGGATCTTTGCGGATGTGCCGTGCACAAACTTGCGCACGAGATCTTTCATCGCGAGTTCGGCATATGCCACGGTCTTCCCGTTGCCTTCCTCCGTGAGGACCACGCTGAAGCACAGAACTTGCGACGACACTTCGTGCGATACGACTGGAATCGAGATTCCCAGCGAGTACGACGGGTTTGGACTGCGAATCTTCTCGGTCTGGAACGGCAGCGTCTCCCGCAGTCGACTTTGGAGGTCGATGTGGACGAGGCTCTGGGGGACGTGGCCTTTGGAAGGACTCGGCGCGGCGTACTTCTTGCCACCAAAGAATGACATGGCGCCGCGGAGCAACTGGTCTGTTGCACTCTTCGAAGCTTGCAAGTTGAGGTCTGTAACGGAGAGGAAGAATGTGATGGTGTCAGGTGGCTTGACGACGTGCTGTAAAGTCGACTTCGACGACGTGGTAGGCAACGACGACTTCACGTCATGGTCTTCACTGTGTCTGCTGCGGTGCAGCAACGAATAGTCGCTGCTTCGTTGGTGTTGGCCATCGACGACGACTGGCCCTGGGACGATGTCTTCGGTCGAGCGCCGGTGGAGCGTGGGGTGGGGTGTGATTTCCCGAGCGCGAATATCTGCAAGCATGCGAAGTCAAAGGCAAAGGAGGGGCACAAGAATGATCGAAGCGGCGTAAGGGAGCGAGAGATAAGCGTCGTGGCCGTCTGTCTTCCTGACTTAGTCACTTGGGCGTCGGCGGATGATGGGGTGGAGGCGTCGCCGTACAGTAGTTTTCGCTGTGATGAGCCCTCGTCGACCAGCTGGGCGGCACTTGATTGGCGTCGCAAATCCGTCGCAACTTGGTCGCAAATAAGTTTGCGACAAACTATTTCAGTCAAAGTGAAGTATATTGCATACAACATATTCCACATGAAGGAATATTTGCGACCGATTTACGACCCCGTTGTGAATTCCCATGTCAAAGCGAACATGCCACGGTGGGTGGGGCAGCTTCCGGATACGACCGGAAGTGGTCACGTTTCTAAAAAATGCAGTTTCTCCCATTTTCCGCTGCTTACAGTCAATATAATTTGGAGACGGTCGGAAGTTTATCCGGACGATGCAAGCGCTCCATTACGTTGCAGGATCCGTTGCGTCGTCGAAGTGGCGCACGGGATGACGCCACGATCTGGTCCCTCCTACACAGCTCCATGGAGATTGGCGAGTCTACCCTCTTATGCTGGCATCGATTGGGACTGGGGCACACCGTCAGGTTCTCGCAACATGCACACGAATGCTGTGAAAAGCGCCTCGACAAACACCGCGACCGCCTCCACAAGACTCGGATACATTCAAATAAAGTTAATCAATACAAGCATCCCCTGTGGATCAGAGGAAATGCTGCTTCATGCCAACACGCCAGCACATACAGATATGTCGTCCTTCTTCCCAATCTGCTTGTTGGCAAACGTGAGAAGATTGGATGCGCTGTAGAACGCCAATTTCTTCACACGCTTGTCGTTCCCAAATATTGCTCGGGTGCCTGGCCGCGGCAGGTCTCGGCACTTCGCTTCAAACGCCTCGAAATCGGCGCGCGTGATCGCATCGTTGGTCTTCATCTCCTCCACAGCAGTCAGGCAAAACCCAGCAGCTGCCACCGCAAACGGAATGTACCCACAATGGCCTGTGAATGTATCCCGGCAAGCCCGCACGGTCGCTTTGGCGATGTCGGCGCCGTGGTTTGGATGGGACGCGACTACGTGGAGCACCTCGTCCACGTACAAGTTGTCGTGGACACCGTCAGAGAACACCATGACGACGTCGCCTGGTTCATATCCCGTGACTTGAATATCCACGGCATCTGTGGGGTAATGGATCTCGTTCATTGTGGAGACGACGGCGGGCACGTTGAAGTCGTAGATGATTGCGTCGCTTTCAAACACGACGACGTTGTGGCGCACTAAGACACACTTGCAATCCCCAATGTTGAACACAAACAGTTGCGACGACGCTGCATCCACGTACACAGCCGTGAGAGCTGAGTCGAAGCGTCCCTTCCGACGTGTCAGAGCTCGTGCGACTCGAATTGCACCGATCATCTCAGCCCCAAAGTCCGAGGACTTGATCGGGACTGCTGGGTCCGACAGACTTTTTCGCCGCAAGCGTTCGAGGGAATTCAGCGTTTCCGTGACGAGCACTCGAGCCAGAATGCCTGACGCCTTTTGGGTCCCAGACACACCATCCGCGACGACCATATAATTGGGGCCGTAGCCTACAGCGTCGTCACCGTGAAAATCGTACGAGGCGCAACCGATCGACGAGAAGCTTCCAAGGCGGCTCTGGTTGCCGCGACTTGCCTTCATCTTGGATATCATGTACTTGTATCCATCGAGACCCATGTGGACTTGCAGAGGACGAGGCAGCGGCGGCGGCAATCAAGTCGGATCGCACTGTGGTTCTGGTCGCAATGCAGAATCGCTCCGGTGCGGAGTGATTGGGTATACAAATAGCAAGAGATTCGACTTAACAAGTCATGCATTGTTGCCGACCGAGTCAAAATAAAATACCGTCCTAACCCAGAATCATGATTGAACTTGAAAAATGTATTGAAACGAACAAGTCTGCCAACCGCCGTGTTTAAAATTCCGCCGGCGCTGTTGACGCCGCCCTTGATGTTCTAGGGGCACGAAATATGTTTAATATCCATATAATGGTACACTGGAATTTGCACAATGCCTGCGTCGTGGCGGTCATCAAGACGATGGGAATATCCGTATAATGGAGCACTAGAATTCCACAATGCCTGCATATTGGCGGTCATCCGGACGCTGTACCACACGTTCAGACGACGCCGGTCGCGGTGCTTGCGCCGCCGTCTCTCCGCATTCGCGCATGCATGTGTGCTAGACGAACACGTAGGGGTCAGGCGATTCAGAACACTCGAGATGCAGTGCACAATCGTGGTGGTTGAGTTTGCTCCACGGACTCGATTGATCAAGTCCATCGTTACCTTGCGATCCGACAACAAGTGCCAACGTTTTGACATGGCTAGAATCGCTACGTACCACGGCGGGCACACTGGACTGGGCATGAACAAAGCACGCTGTCACGATCTCCACGGGGGTATGGCGTGCAAACCTGATCATTTGCGAACGTTGCATGCAATCGTCAGCGTGCTGGTCGTGTAAGCCAAAGAGCATTTTTTCCACCGTTTATGCCGAACTCGTGCGGTTTGAAATGCTGCATTGCGAGCGATTGCACTGCGGTGACTTGATGCAGCCCCTTCGCGACCTCATCGCTGCAGGAGCTCTCGTAACGCAGGGGGGGGGCACAATGGCCAGCATCATGCCGCACACGTTATTTGATCACGTGTAACTGTGGCCGACGAGCGGTTTCGCGGCTTGTGTCAAGAATGAAGGCGCACTCGAAGCCCGCAATCACGAGAAGTTCGACGGCGCGACTGGGGGTGAGCAAGTCCGTATCACACAAGAAGGTGGCACAGCATGCCGAGGATCTGCACCAGGCGGCAAGCGTCGTCGCCGACCCCCCAACTTCTCCTGCTTCCCCAATACCAGGCCTACCAACGGTGGCAGGAACGCCGCCGCCACAAGAAACACCGCCACCTACTCGTCCGATACCAAAGCACCGCGTGAATACCCTCACCAAAGTGAAAGGAGTCGAGTACCTCCAAGGCGGCCGCCAGCCCATTCCCCCGATGACTCTGCATGGCCGCATCTTGACAAATATCGACCCTCGGTCCCGCGAACGAGCTCAAAAGCGTTGGGATGCCCTTCGAGACGTCGTGAGCCGCACGCCCGAATTGACGCGTATCACGCAAAAGCTCCAGGAAAGCATCAGGTCCGATGATCGCGCTTGCCCTTCGTGCTCACTGCTGTCAGGATCCTGAAGATGGATCCGTGCGACCGCCGCGACACCGACATCGCCCACCTGTACTCGTGGTTGATGTCCCAGGAAAACTTGAGTCCGCTCTTCCAGACCAGTTCGTCGTCCATCTCCGTCGCCATAACAACCTTCCCATCATCACGTTGGTCCTCCTCGGTGTAGTGCCGGAAAAAATGGGGAAAAACATTTGCCGTGAACTCGAATTTCTCCACTTGCGAAGTCGCCGTCGTTTCCAGATCGATGCTGGTTTGACTGGGCATTTTAGGCAACGATGTGGTCGTGCATCAAGGCGACATCGGGTCGACATGCTTTGTACGATGCCAGAGCTCGTGCCCGTTGCCCATCACAACTGACGTAGATTCTAATCAGCGGCCTCGTCGCCGTCTACGTGCGAAGTCCCGAAGAACAAGAGCGGTTCACGCGCCTGGGCCTTCGAAAGCAGTACCCCCCTGACCCGTCCACGACTCTGTCGGGGGATGCCCCGCCCGTCAAGATATCGATGGACTCGTCCCTTCCCAAGAACACCTCGACGGTTTGTTGACCACGTATTGCACAACATCGTGACCGTCCTTAGCTCCAACGCGCGGCGGCCCCGAGCTTTGGCACTAAAGTTGCGACTCTCAAACCTGGCGCGACGTTTGGCGAGATCTGCCTCATCGAACCCGACTCGAAGCGAACGGCAACCGTGGTCGTCGATGGCGCATGCAGCTCCGCCAACTTCATCGTACTCACGTCGTCGTCGTACACGAAGATGACAGCTACCCAGAAAACAGAGGTGGTGCATATCATCATTTCCGACACAGCCGGGACCGAACACACGTTTTCCTGCACTAGGGCACGATCTCGGACCACATTGCGTTTCTCCACCAACTCTATATTTTTCGAACGTGGTCGAAGATGCGTACGCTGTCTCGCATCCCAAGCACCGAATCGATCGTTGTGCTTGCTGTAGAGCTCATGAGGTTGGCTTCGTCCATGCGATACATGGTGTTTTCGCCGCAGGTGTGCTGCTTGGACATGCATGGGCACAACCTAACGCGCGGAAGCGACAGCAATTCCTACAGCGCAAGAACGCCGACATCGAATACTTTTACATGATCTTGAGCGGTGAAGTCCGGGAAGTGACCAGCATCGTATTCCAGCAAGTGCATCACGTCCCTGGGTACGGCGACAGCTCTCTTCGCATGTTTACACCCGTGGCGACAGCGGCGCAAAGAAGCTCACCGAACACAAAGTCACCGCCGAGCTCACGTACATTGGAAAATACGACGTCGTGTGTACGTCGGGATGGGTTGTGGACGCGCGGGACGACTGACGTCTGCAGGCGAAGGGTTGGTGTACCCGAGGAAAATCCACCTCAGCCCCGTCGACGTTCGTGCAGGTCCGTTCGACGGAGCTAGACGATCCCTAATATGCTCACGTCGTTGTAGAAACAACGGTGTGCGCGCTTGCGTTGAGCGTACGTGTGAGGTGGCGGGACTTTTCCCATTCTGGATTGAGCGAGTGCGCTGGCGTGTAGAAAAAGTTGTTTCAGCTTTCGATTTTGAACGCTGCCCAGCTGCACCAAAAGCATGTCGCGCAGCACACGATGCGTGTGCTCGAGCAAGTGAGCGACGCCCGTCAAAAGTGGCGAGAGGCTCGAATCAACCAAGCCACGGCATACCCCGACCTGCTCATCAAAATGTCCGTCGTCGTCGCGATCCCATGCATGTCCTCATGTGTTTGTGAGCGCAGCACGTCCAAGATGATGCGCCTCAGCGGCAACTTGTGCATGCAGTGCGGCCGGTGCACGCACATAGCTGGCGACTCGGTTTGTCTCTTTGACGCGTTTCTAAAAGCGCACGACCCAAAGCCCGTCGAGCGGCAGTACTTTCACCACAATGCCCCGGCAAAAGAACGAGTGGAGGAGCCCGAAGACCCGACTACTGGTCCACCGTCGCCCACGAACAACCACGACAGCGTGGCTATCGCCCCTGCAACTACCTCAATACCGACCTCCGACGATGTGCGGCCGTCATCCGTACACCGGCAACTCCTCAACGACCACTGGACGGAAGCAGCCAAACATGGCATTTCCCCGCGGCGCCCTGCCACAACCGTACGTGTTGCGAATGTGGTGAAGACTCATCTGCCTTGCTAACATGGCGCTACAGGACTCGGCGTCGACTCGGCGACCGGCAAAACCCAACCCAGCCAGACGAACCGCCGATATTGCTTCAAAACTCGACGCCGTGCGAATGTCGTGGCCGTATGCGTCCCATGAAGCAGAAGAATAAGGTTCCGCCAAGATGAGATTCGTTCGTGTTTTGGTGCCGGGTTAGAATTCATCTTCTTGGATGTAGTTTTCGTGGTGGCCGCCGCGCGAGTGTGGTTGATGGATGTCTCCGAGGATGGGGGTGTCGGCTCGATTGAGGGGTTTCATTGGAGGCGGCGAGCTGTCGGGTTGGTTCCGTTTGTGATGGTGGCCATCCAAATCCATGTCTCGTGGGAGGTCTGTCATTTCAGCCAAGTATTCGGCGGCGCTCATGTACTGCGTCGCGGACTGCCCGAGCAGTTTCAAGATCTCGAGGGCATTGTAGTCGATGGTTTTTCGCGGCTTGACGTCGGCGACGCAAATGTCTCCAATGCACTCGCCCGTCTCGAGCGTCAGCGGCACCCCGACAAAGAACTGGATGCGCGACGTCGTGCGCCGATCGACGCTGATGCGCTTGTCCGAGTTGACGTCCAGCACAACGCATGGCTTACCACTTTGCGCCATTCGACGAAACGTTGGCAGCGACTTGGGCAAGTCGGCTGGGTTCACATGGGCATCGTAGTGCACGAGCTCGAAGAGGCTGGTGCGAATGCCGGCCATGGGGCAATGGAGCGCTTGCATTGCCGAGTGGCAGATTTCTTCAAAATCCGAGTTGATGTACTCCTGTCGCTTACTGGGACCTTTCTTCTTGGAATTGCGAGACGTAGATGAGCCCTCGGACGTGAGCGATGCAGGTCGCTTCGGAGGTTCGGCGCAGAGTGGTGGGGGAACGTCGCCGTTCAACGTTGTATTGAGAGAGACATGGTCGGAGGCAGTGTGTGCAGGGGGTGGCGGCTGCTGCGCCGCTTCCTGAGTCACATACGGCTTTGTTCGACCAGGATGACTCATCGATGTCCGAGCGAGGGATTCAAGGTTGGAATAGTTGGTCGTGAACTTGAGCATGAGGGTCTTGAGCGCTGGACTGACCAGGTTGGATCCACCCGCCTTTTTGCTCGAAACGGTAAGGGTGAGCACTGTCTTGCCTGGCTCGGCCGATGGAGTCATCACGAAGTAACTTGGCTCAAAGGACGCGAGTTTATAGCTGTCGGCGCGGGCCCGGATGCCGTACTGCGCGCCAATGCCGTCGTAAGACTCGAACAGCACGATACCCACAGGTCCATACTTTCTCGACCGATGCACACCACAATACTCGTAGTAGAGAAATTCCTTGGGCTTGGTGAAAATTGCACCTGTGTTCAACGCAATCCACTTGAGCGCCAACGACGATTCCGTTTCGTCATGTCGTGGGCCATCCGCGTGGAGGACTTCACCGTCGATGAACGTCTTCCCGTGAAGTTCCTTCATGATGAGGCGGAAACTCGGACTGTCCAATAAACGAAGCATGTCCACACATGAGTACACTGTTCCTGGGACTTGAGTGACCAATCTCATGGCGCAGTGCTGGTTTGCTGCGTTGCGTTCGTGCTGGTACATGCGAACGTCCGGTTTGTTTGTCGACACCGACGTCCATGATGTAAAGTCAGTCGAGCTATCCACGGCCCGTTCCAGGCGCTTTCGGCATTCGCTGTGCATATGCTCAATGTCAATATCTTGCGGCCACGAGCTCAAAGCAGCCGCGCCGTTCGCCAGGTGCTGCCCTGGCATCGTGCGTTTTTTTCAATCGCGCCCATGTTGTCTTACGGCAACATTGCTTCGAACTTCGATCCACCGTTGCACGCCAGCCGCAAGGAAAAAGCTGCAATCTATTAAAAACAATAATATTTGTCCAACATGGCGAAACTACACGTTTACAATACTAGTATCTGCAAGCTCGCATTGTCAACGATGCAATGTAATGTGATTTTATACTAACGCATTTCAATAATATTATCGCCAGCAATGATGCTATTTTTTTCACTGCAACCTGCATCGTCGAAGTTCGTAAATTCGAGGCGCGTATCGCGCCTGGAGCGATGGACATGATGGAACCACGAGTTACTTCTTGAGGGGCTTCAACCGATACGATTCTAATCGGGATGCTGAGAGACTTGCTGCGGGGGTAGCGGCATCAGGTGCGTTCGCTTTCTTGCCCTTCTTCTTGTGTTTTCGCTTCTTCTTGGACGGAGCGGCAGCTTCGGAGTCAGCACCGTCATGGGCGGTCGTGTCGTCGTTGTCCACTTCCTGGTCAGCAGTGGGTTCCGTGAGAATCTCGTCGTCCGCCTTGGCAACTGCCTTCTTGCCCTTGCGCTTTCGCTTCTTCTTGGACGACGTGGAAGCGTCGCCACTTGCGGCCTCAGGTGGTTCAGTGTTCTCCTCGATGGTTTTCTTCGACTTGCCAGTTCGCTCCTTGACTGTTTTACGCAGCTGCTGCACTTTGCGGCGGTTCACGGAATGTTCACGGTCCGCAAACGGAGCCAGTCGCTTCAGCGATACGACTGCCTTGAGCTCCTGGTCGTTGGCGTACAGAATATCCTCCGTCGTAAGACCATAATTGTTCTTCGCCACTTCGCGGTACTTGAATCGACATGGAAGGTCCCCGATCAAGTCTTCGTAGTCGAGGGCGTACAGTTCGTCCAAATACTGCTTCTTCTTGGCGTCCAATTCCGCCTGAGTCATCGTCGTCATGGCCTCTTCATCGGCATCTTCCCCGTCGTCGTCGTCCGCAGCATTTACTTCGTCCTGGCGCTCGTTCGGATCACCTTCGTCGAATTCACCCATGGCGTCATCGGCATCTTCTTCCACGTCGGCTTCCTCAACTTCTTCTGGGTCCTCTGGCAGCTTGCCAAATATTTCGTCGTCGTCGTTCCACGTGGGCTTTTCACCGTCGTCTTCGCCATAGTATTCGTCGTCAAACACTTCGGCCATGCGCCGATCGTGTTCCGCGGGGTCGAATGCGCCGTCGATGTCGGCGGCAGTCAGCTTGCTGTTCTCGTCACCCATGAGTGCGCGAACCTTTTCAAGCTTGGCTTCAATGTCAGCTTGTTTGAGGTTCTTCAACCGTCGCAGCTCCTCCTCTTTTTTCAGGCGCTCTAATGCCTTGCGCGCCTTCCGTTCTTCACGGGCGATTTTACGTTTGTCGTCCTTGCGACGGAGCGAGTCGTCAATGTGTCGCGAGAACGTTTGGATCTGTCCACCACCTTCTTCTTCAAATCGAAAGTTGTATGCGTGTTCGAACGCATCTGCCTTGTCCAGCGCTTCTTCGTCCTCCGAGTCGTCCACTGCTTGGTCGTCCTCGATCGGCCGACCGCGCGTCGCCTTGGCGCCTTCTTTCCAGACTCCGCTCTTCAAGTACTTGTTTAAAAAGTCATCCGGGTTCTCGATCTCGTGGCCATGCAATTCTTTGAACGCTTTGTACTCGTTGTCATCGGCCTCTTTCTCCGCGGCCGTCTTGGTCCTCTTCGTAAAGATTCCACCGTCCAATTCATCGTCATCGTCGACACCAGAAGCAGCCAAACTCTGAAGGAATTCACCCTTGAGGCGTGCTTGATCTTCTGCGTACGAGGTTGTGGCAGGTTCGTCGTCGTCAGACTCGTCCGACCCGTCGACATCACCGGCGAGCACTTGTTGACGCACCAAGTCTTTGTAGTACAACGGTTTGTCAGCCTTTTTCTTTGTGGACGAGGAGGTCGCTTTGGTACTGTCGTCGTCACTACTGTCACTGTCGACGACTTCAGGTTGGAAGAACGTGATAGACGAGTCGTAGATGGATGGATCCTTCTTGCGGATTAACTTGAGCGTTCGAGAAATGTCCTTGTCCAGTTCCTCGGTCAATTGGTCGCCATCTTCGTCGTCTGTTTCCGAGTCGGATTCGTCGTCGTCGTCGCTCAAGTCCACATTCTTCAGGTTTTTCAGCTCTTCGTTCCGTTTCTTCTCATGGTACTTCTTGGCAAAAGATTCGTTGATGCGAAGCTCCAAGCCATGGTCGTCGTTGCCAGCGGTATCCAGGATTCCCAATTTGGCCGCGGTCTTTGCCATTGCGGAGGTCGGTGCTGGCGTGGAAAGGTTGAACTCGAGTGGATTTCCCTCCACTTACCAAACTGCAACTGGATTGGACAAAATCAAAGCTCAAATTAGGGGGAAAAGGGTGTTTTGATTGGTTATAAATATTGCTATTTACATTTTCATTGTCAAATTATTTCACCAATATGATTGGACACCTAGGTAATGCAGAATGATGGTTTTCTGATCGTTGTTGCGATTGGACCGCGACCTTTCGAACATGCCGCCGATGGCCACCACCGCGGTCGAATGGTCCAAGCTGGATATCCGTCGCCTGCCAACGCTGGTGAAAGAAGGTGAGCACCAGGCGGCTTCTCCATCATTCAGACGTCGTCTTGTACTAGTGGATGCGCTTGTAAAGTTTGCACCTGGTTACAAAGAGACCTTTTCCGACGACCAAGTATGCTCCGAATACGTTTAGTCGACTATAAATGTCCATTAGATGCACGACTTCCTCGTGTCACTTGACACTCGAATCGATGAAGTCGATTCAATGAAACGCGAGTTTGCCGATGGTACGACCTTGCGCAAGGTTTGTGATGATAAAGGCAGCCACTCGTTGACTAGATCCACGAGTCATCGTCGTCGACCGTCAGCTATTTCGGTTGCGCCAAGTCCGCGTTGAGTTGAGAAATACTCCCGTTGGGACGCGTAACAATCATTTGCACGAGTGGGGACCCAGTTTCCTTGCCTGGATTCCTCATGATAACTTGACCAGGTCAAAGCCTGCGAAGGAAGCAACAGAGCCCAAACAGGTTGGCGTTGGCATCTCGAAGAAAATTGAAGTTCCTTTTCATCACTTACACCAGGAAGTCAAGCCCATGTACAATTGGGAGACTCGAAGTACAGCTTGGCATCAATCCGTGGCGAACAAAGGCAAGCATGGTCCCGATTGCTCACTCCTTCGACATACGAAGTGTCAGCGTTTGATGACGGCAGATTTGAATTACATTGCGCTCAAGGAGCCGGGGCATTTCTCCACGCGAAGCCCCGTTGAAAACACTTTGGAAGTGGAAGGGCAATTTGAGTTTCAGATCATCATGACCGAACAAGAGTGGAGGTGGCATCAGGTACGCCAAACGACATTCTGTCGCGTGTTGCGGGCTCAAATGGTGGGATCGACTTGTGTAGAAACAACGGCGCCAAATTGCTGCCGAGACCAAGCACCTTGAACGCAAGAAGAAGGTTTAAACGACACCCAACTGAACAGCCTACAAACTGACCGATTCCATTCTTTGTAGGCGGAAGTGCACGGAGCAGCGCCGCAGCAGTACGGCCGCTAGAAAGTATGCGACGCGGCAGCTCTTTACATGGTTTGATACGTAGGCGCTCCATTCAATCCAGTACGCCGTACATCGATCCCCTCAAGCTTGAAAAAAGCGTGTATCGTTGAGAGACATTTGAAATGTGTTCATTGTGGAATGTTATGTCGACCTCGTCATGATATCAAATTAAACAAGTCCTGTCATACTGCATTCCGCGACAAAAAGCAACAGCAGGTGGCGGCGCGGTGGCGATGACAGCAGGAGATGGAGCATCGCTCAGTTCCTCGGCAAGGATAGAAGAGGAACTCGATGAACTGCGACAAGAGCTAAGTATATGTGAAGCTGAGCTCGGAGTGTGGAAGCACCGCCTTTCGGTCGCCCTGAAAAAAGGACAAGGGAATTCGAGCAGCAACCTTAAACGCCGACTTGACGAATGTCCTGCGACGGATCCCGTCGTCCCTGCAGTCAATTCACTTCAAAATGTTGAGAAGGACCCAACCAACGGTCACAGCGCCATCAAACGCCCTCGTTCTGTAGATACGTCCACGGAGGAACCCAGAGTCGCTGCAGAGCTTATTTCAAGTACAGTTGGGGAAAATGAGGTGCCTCCAGCCGTGGGTGTAACCCCAATAACCCCGCAGTCATCATTATCAACTTCCTTACCGACACCAACGCCATTATCGTCCCCGACGAATGGATCGATTGAACCACTTGCGTCCATGCCAGAGCGCCAGAAGTTGCTTCAAGCATTGCGAGATGAAAAAGCAAAAGCTCAGCGGCGGGAGAAGCTCCTGGAACTGCAAAAGACAGCCGAAGAGACACTGAAGGTATCGTCCATCCCCTTCACGGTTGCAACGGCCCAACGAGAATAATCTCACCTTGTGTCACGGTGATGTAGAAACAACGAATTGCACGTGCTCAGTTGGAGCTCGCCGAGCGCAAGGAGCTACCTACCAACTATCAACCATTCAAGCCAAGCGTTGTCAAGCCAACGGCAATATCTATGGCATCCTTCCAAAGACCCTCACGACCAGCCCAAGGATCATCCTCAATGTCCGTACACCAACGGACGTTCAAGCGGTCACGACTGCATGCAACAAGTGCCGACGTTCCACCGCCGGTGACTCCAGTCACAACTTTGGAAAGGCATATGTATGAATGTAAGTGCACTGCCACGCTCTCAATTCATTCTGACTCGCCCATGCAGTACCACAATACACCGCGTTGGGGTTGGACTCTGCTGCCGACGTTGTATCACATTTGTTTCGGGTGTGCATTCGTTGGATCCTTGAGACGAACGAGGTAATGCACCATGTCAGTGCGCGCCCCATCAAGAATTCTCGTAGGTTCCGTCTGTCGACGAATTGGAAGCCAGGTTTCTGAAATATGCTGGCAAAGACTACACCGCTACAAATGTCCCCACTTCGAGCACGGAAGAAGCACTTCTGGAGGTGGCATCGATTGTGAAGACTTTTCCACTGCTCCATGCATGCGTTTCGGGGCAAGACCGGCTGGGACGTGACAGGTCGAGCGATTCAATCGACGTTGCATTGGAATCCCAACCGTCGTCGCTGTGGAACATGCTCGTTCCGCACGAAATGTGTACTGGAGGTACCGTGAATAACTTTGAGAAGCAGTACTTGCGTCTTTTTGGGTTTATGCGTGTAAACTAATGTGCAATTTTTGGCTGGTTTTTAGATCATTTGTTCGCTTATCTTACGGAATCCCGAGAGAATATTCTCTCGGCACTGTCGCTGTCATCGCGACTCCAATCCAAGGAATCGACAGCGTCTGTTCTCGACTTGGTCCTCTCTCAAGTGTACTTGGCCGGCACGACGCAATTGTCATCGGCTCTCCATACACTCATTCCTGGCGCGCCTCCAAGTGACGTGCATGTGACTCTCCCAGACTTGTACGCATTGCCATCTGCGTTTCATGCGCCATCGGACCAAAATTCGCATTTGACGACGTCAAACGATCAAACTTCACACCCTGTTGTGCCGTTTTCGATCGACAACGATTCCCCGCTACTTCAAATCCGAGCGTATCGATTCCACCCAAGCTTTGCAATCACGAGATCAAACAAGCGGTCCCTTTTGAGCGCCACCTACGCAAACACAATCGATCCGATGAAGTGAGTACTCTGCCATCGTTGGAATTGTGGTCAATCTTTTCTTGTGTCGACTGACTTTCGAGATAGGGTGCTTTGCCCATATGAGCTGAATGGCGTTTGCAACGACGATCGATGCGAATACCAGCACGAACGAGACTATTTGATGTCACAACACACAGCGTACTCGGAGCTCATGCGATGCCTTGAGGGCCAAGAACCGCCGCATGACGCGGACACGGACCCCCAAGAGTTAGAACGTCGGGCCGTCAAGGCTGTAGAGAAGTTTCATGCTTCATCCAGTTCGTCACCGGCGGAACTACTCGTTGCTAAATCGACTCGCCAGCATACGACGGGTTCGCTGGTCTCTACAAGGTTGACAGATCAAACCACCTTGCAGAAACACGCCCATTCATTTTGTACCTTCATGGAGCCTCTTGCGAAATTGCGGTCGATGGCACCCAGTACTTCGTTCAGTTTGCAATTCTTGTTAGAGGTATGCATGTTTCGGTGAGGGCGAGCTCATGAATTGGCAGGACGAGCTTCATGGTGGGTCGACCAAAAAAAGTCCATCGAGACAGTCTGCCGTGAAGGAAGCTACACCGGCGGCTCAAGTGACTCAACTGTCACCAGCGATCGACGACGAAAATTATTTGGCATTGGAGGCCTATCCTGACTTGGCTGTCGACCAACTCACAAGCTTCGAACGATACTACGCAAAGGATTGCACTCAGTCACTAATCCAAGTACGTCATTTTTGTCGATGCTCCTCTGAATGTGTCCCGCTCGCCAGGAGCTCGAGCTGCAAGTGGAGCAGCATCCTGAAGACGTTGACGCTTGGATTTCCCTGGCATTTCTCCACGTTGACGTCGATATACCCAACATGTACGGTTTATTCGCGCTGTCTGATGTAACGTTGATTGGTACAGCGACGATGTGGGCTCGTGGTGTTGCCAGTCCCAAGTGTTTGAGATTATCGGGGTAAGATTGTGCTCGTCGTGGAGTGATTTCAGGTGGGCGGTGCAGGTTGTGCGGTCGAAGCGGTGCTCAAACGAAGCCATCCACATGGACAAGACGCTGCACATTTTGGCCCGGGCCCTTGAAGTCGAGGCCAATCTATACAATGAAGTGCTATGGCACTTGTACTTGGAATTTTACACCAGTGAAGGAGCGTATGAATTAGCCGAACAAGCAACACGTTTTCTTCCGGGATCTGCGAAGCTGTGGATGTGCCAACTCGATTTATGCAAGTTTGAATCCGTCGCTGATGCTTCGTTTGTGCACGCCACGGCCATCGAGAAGATGCTCAAGCACTCCAAAGCTTCGGTGCCCCTCGTTTCCCAGCCGATCCTATCGCTCATTGTCCGGTGGTGCAACATGTTTGTCGATGCTGGACATGTAGACCGTGGACGCCAGTTATTGCTGTCCATTTTGGAAGACACCGAAGACAAACCAACCTGTTTGGCGGCGTTTCAGTTGGACCCCGACCATCTCGCCAAGCTGTGGCTTATATACTTGGACTTGATGCTGTTCGACGCAGTGTCGACGCCGGAGGATCGGACCTTGTACGATTACATTTACTCCTACACGGCCGTTCAAGTCGAGCTGAAGCGCCAACACGCTCGTGGACCCGCTTACTGCTGTACTGTGTTCAGGCGTGTTTTGCAAGGCATGCAGAGCACCATCGGATCGAACCATCTTGGCATGCGAATAGCTTTGGTTAATCACGTGATCATCCAAGGTGCTGTGGTCAAAGACCATGCCGACGTCATGCAGTTGATCGAATCGTTGGAAGAACAAGCCGAAGCCATGCCACCAAGACTGTGCCACACAATTGCAACCACTGTCGCGGCAATGGGATACCCCTATGACGCCTTGGCGACACGATGGGCAGCAAGAATGACAGGGTTGTCGTCGTCACAAGAAAATCGCATGTATGCGTGCATCCTGGGCAATGCGGCAACTGACCAGACGTTGCTGGATCGTCCACACTATGTGTCGGACCTCTTGCAATGGACGGAATCATTGAGCAAGGAGGCGTTGCCTGGTGTTGCTCGAGGTATTTTATTACTGCATGCGATCGCGCGCTTGGATGGCGTGACCAAAGCTAGTCAGCACTTGGACTGGGTGCTGCGGCGGCCGAGTGTGCTAGCTCACTTGCCGGCAGTGGATCAGCACCACTTGTGGTCGCTCCGTCTGCAATGGGCGATTCAACTCGTTGGGGACGGAGACAAAGTCATCCGGCGGTACATTCAAAGCGTCGACAGCGTGCCGCGAAAGTGGACGTCCGTTGCCGCAGCCATCGAGTGGTGTTTCGAACCGTCATCGCGACGCTTTGGATTTGCGCTGTTCAGTCGGTACACGTCCAGCATTCCAAAGCCCCTCCACGCCCCTCTCTATGCCAGTTTTGCCCAAGCCTTCGCGTGTTATCCGCCATTTTTTGCTGCCTATGCACGTAAGAAGAATTTGTGGGATGATTTGGGTTGTTGAGCAATCGAATGGCGTGGCTTGTTTTGTAGAGTGCCAGTTTTCAAGCGATCGAGATCGCTTTGCATTCACGAGTGCATTGAGGCTGTGCATCACTGCACTACCACGCAACTCGATGCTCCTTCGTGTCGCCGTCCACGCAGAACTCGCCCATCTCAACCGAGCAGCCCACACTCGCTTGAGGTCGCATATCAAATCATGCATGTTGGCAAACCCGATTGCTGCGGCACCGTACCAAATTGCGTTCGCATTGGACACTGCGTTTGGAAACTCCAAGCTCGTCCTGCCTCAGTTGCAGGACCTTACACAGCTGCTTCTTCGCCGTGGAATTCTCGACCTGAAGCATGCTCAGTCGTCCACGACTGCGTTTTCCATTCCTGGCAACCGACTTGTCCATGTTCCTCCGTCCCTGTCCTTCATGAAGGACTTGTGCGAGCTGAAGTTGTCACGAAATTGCCTCCTCGGCCTTCCTGACACGTTGTTCCTTTCGTTGCGGCATTTGCAAGTGTTGGATCTGTCGTTCAATTCGCTGCTGCGGCTGCCCGAGTCGATCGTCGGCCTCAGCCAGTTGCGTGTGCTGAATGTATCGCACAATCACCTCCAGGACCTGCCTCTGTTGTTTGGTCAGCTGCACGCTTTGGAAGACTTGGACGTGTCGTGGAATTTGGTCACGGGGCTCCCGTCGACCTTTGTCGCATTGAAGAACCTTCGTCGGGTGAACGCTCGAGGTACATATCTCTCTATGGACTTGCTTCGACGTAGCATTACGTGGCTGCCGTGCACGATCGAGGCGAACGACAACATGTACAGCCCAGGGAACTCAATCTCTGGACTGCATGTGCCGCTGCACGCATCGTTGGGTCCTTGTGCGCACTGCCACAAAAATGCTGGTAAAACCCAGCGATTCAACGCAGCCGTGTTGTGCCCTAAGTGCATCTTGGTGGCGTTGCTCCCGTTGCTGTAGGAGTTGTCCGTCGACAGAACTTCTTCCTAATGTCATGTCTAACTACTGCCATTTCGAAGCCATTTTCGTCTCCTTTGCTGATGCAATTGCGCGACTGTAAAAAGTGCTGCGGTCGTTTCCATGCACGTCGTAACGATCCGACAAAATTAGCCTTGTCAGTCATCCGTGGCATTCCGTTCATCTCGCTGCCATGCCGAGCACGACTGAAGCGCCGGCGTTGCCGGGACCTGCTCCGCCCTGTCTGCCATCTTCGCCGACCAAGTCAACGCCACCGTCGCCAACCAAACCGTCCCCTCATGCGACGCTTCAAATGCTCGCGGCTAAAGCTGCTGCTGCCGTACGATCCCGCTTGCTTTTGGTGCAAGCAATCCACACACACACAAACTTGTAGAGCCTACCCGTCGCCCCCACGCGTACGCTGAAAGTATTCACAGGGTACTGGCCGTCCTCATGCTTGATGGAGGTTGGTTCAGCGGGATCGATGCAGGTCATGGAACGTCGGCAACAAGATGCCGCCCGCGACGTCGGAAGGCATCCATGGTTGGGTGCCGAAAGGTACAAGCTCGCCGAAACATATACCGTTCTCACCAGTGTCGTCGGGGCAGGCGGTGATGACTACGACATCGTGGCGATTGGACTCCAAGAAAGCACGTACAAGAAGAAGGCGACGTCGTCACCGACACATCGCGATGACGTCGAATCGGTCGCAGAGCACGAGGACGAAGACGACGACGAAGACGCCGTCGATGACGCCGATCTCCACGACGTCGTGCTGGACGACGCGTCGAAACGCAAGCCGTCGCCGTTGGTCAAAGCATCCCAGAGTATTCGACAGTCGTTTGGCGACCTCGCACGTCGAGCGAGCACGACGGCGTCAGCGCAGTCGTATCCATTCTTCGTTCAGCTTCTCGTATGCACGTCACCTTTGTCGTCAAATTTCGACCATCACGACGGTGCGTCAGGAGCACCTTGGTCCCGATTACACGGTCGCGGGCGCCGTCGAGCTCATGGAGATTCGTCTGGCCGTATTTGTCCACACTCGGAACACGGTGCGTGATCATCGACGTCCAGGATGAGTCACTGGTCGGAAACTAGGTGTCGAGTGTGGAAAAGGTTACCGAGGCCACAGGCGTCGGCAACGTGATCGGGAACAAGGTCTTTTACCCCGGCTTGGTATCTCTCACACGCGGGTCGTCGTAGGGCGGCGTCGTGCTCAAGATGGTGGTCGACCACCGGTCGTTTTGCTTTGTCAACTGCCACTTAGCCGCCCACGAGGCGGCAAAATTTCTCGAGCGGCGCAACAACGACGTACGTTGAAATGAATCGCATCATCATCCACGTCGCCGACGTCGTCGTCGTGCAGGTGGCGGAGATTCTGAGCGGCGCCCGCGTCGGCCAGCGCAGTATCGAGCTCGACCACCAATTTGACCATGCGTTTTGGTTTGGCGACATGAACTACCGCGTGCAGCTCGCGTACACCGACCCGAAGGACAAGACGAAGGAAGAGCATTGGACGGCCGTCCACGCCCTCGTCAAGGGCAAAGTACGTCCGGCGCTTGTGTTCGTTCGATATGAAGGGCACTGCCATGTAGGAGTACAGCAAACTGTACGCGAACGACCAGCTCCAGCACCAAATGCATGCCAATAAAGTGCTTGCCGGGTGGCATACGGCCCCTTGCAACTTTCCGCCGACTTTCAAGCGGCTCCGCGGCAAAGTGGATGAGTTTACGGTGGGGGGCTGGTTTACGTTGTACAGCGTCATGCCTGACAAAGCCGCAGCAACAACGCGTCCCATCCTACTGCGACCGCGTGCTGTGGAAGTCGCTGCCAGGGTTCGCCGCCAACCTGACCTTGAAAGAGTACAACTGCGTCGAGGATATTTCGACGAGTGATCATAAGCCGGTCTTTGCAACGTTCGACGTGCGGCCGCTGCCGACACCATCACCAAACTCCAACTCGCACGACGTACTGTGGTCAAGATGGGCATCGAAAAATAGAACTCCTGATGATGGCTGACGTAGCTCGTCGAGGTCAAGTTTTCTGACGTGTCGGCGACGAACCTGGACGCCATGGACTTGAATGGACAGAGCGATCCTTACGTAAGCCCACCGTCGCGCTCGAGGCGTGTCGACTCACGCAAGAGCAGATCAAATTCTACTGCACCGTGCCGGACTTGCTCTTGGGCGACGATGGCAAGCATCCGCAGTCAGCCGTGCTAAAAGGGACCCTGAATCCTACGTACGACTTGCGTGTTGCATCGATCGTGACAATGTTGAGCAGATGGGAAGACGGCCAAATTCCAGCGCTACAGCTCAAATGCCAACTGAATCAAATCCTGCGACTGCACATGATCCTGTTGATCATGGATTGGGACGCAACGTCGGCCGACGACCCCCTCGGTACGACGACATCCTGAATTTGTGGCAGGGGCTTCGACCTTCTCAGATGGCTGGACGTTGTTGGGAACAGGACAAGCGGTGCTGTACTTGCCGGACTGCTACGAACCCGGCGAAAGCGTGCCGTTTGAGGTGCCCGTGATCCGCAAAGGTATCAAGTCGGGCACGATCCGTGGCAAAGTGTCGATCCATGCGTCCGGAAAGAGGTTTGCCGAGTGGGAGAAGAACCACGCGAGAGTACCGGGGTGCGCGTGCTTGCTCATGTAGCGCCATGGAACCCTTTTCTCCTTCCATAATTCACACGTATGCATGAACTCGAGTTCAATCAAGCGCATGCCAATGGACAGAGTAATGTAGTGCACGCCTGGCGCTCACACAGCTGCATCGCGTCATGACGACGTGATCCCACCCAGATCATGCACCTCGGTGGATGGAAATTTCCGCATACCGTACGAACTTATCCGGATGCCGATCGAGCATTGAACATGTCGTGGTATGCATGCAGCAACCCCGCTTGCCGCCACTTGGACGGGCCACCTCGGGCAGTCCACATCACAAACGGCCCGCCAAGATGCACTGAATACGCTGCGGAATGGTACGCTAACTGCTTGAGCATCGCATTTCTCCGTTCTCTTCACACAGCGTGGGGTGTCGACGACGAAGCGTTCCATGCGAATGCTGCCGCACCCTCATCAGCCTTGATTCGATGCGCGATGGAGTGGTGATGTGCCAGTTATGTGGCTTTTGCACCGTGCTCGATGTGGACTTGCGGGCGTTCCTTTTTTCACCTCCCCTTCCATTCGAGGTGAGCGACATCCAGAACCAAGAGTTGTCGGCCAATGTGAAATTAGGCTGCCATGAGGAACGAGGTCTCGGCAGTGCACGATCAACGACAGCATGCATCTCAAGCAAGTGCTATTGTGGAAGAAGGTACATGGAAGAGCTTATCGTGGTCTCAACTGTGGAATAGAGCCTTTGCAGCCTGATTCCAAACGACAAAAGGTCATCGACGACGACTCTCCTCGCTCTCTCGAGGGAGTATGGACGTCTGCGAGACTTCCTCTGACGGAAAAAGCGCTTCCATTCACGTCGTCAAGCCTTGGGGTATACAATCTCTGCGTTGACGCTCATGCTGACGTAATTCCCAGATGCTCAAGCTCCTCCAAGGCCCCAACTTTGCACAGGTTCATTTTTCGTTCAGCATCATCTTTTCCACACGCTTCTCGTGTGTAAGCGCCGTGTAGCACGAGGTAGATGCGTTGTCCGACACGTTGCTTCAGTTCTTGCACCACCGGCATATCCTCGTGAAGCTCCAGGACGAGTTGCATGATCTGGAGCAGCTCCACCGTCATTTTTCCCTCCGCCAGGTACTCTTTTCCGGGTCGTCAAGTTTGCTAAGCCGATGAGGTCCAGAAAACGGTCAGCGCATTCGTTGTGGAATGCACGGCGCTGCAGATTCGCCGCCTTCGCGCCACGTTCGACCGAGTGGCAACTCCATATTGCCGCGTCGTCGGCATCGCCACCCACCACCTCCGCGAGCTCTTGCGAGAAGCTCGTGAAATCGGCCATGCCGCTGTCGATACAAAAACCACCCCTTCGACATCGGACGCCATGACGTCAACGTCACTGCGGTCCCGGCGTCGCAAAAACTTTCAGGAACGCCAAGGTACTGTCGCCGCGGCGCTGTTGACGCCCCCGAAGGCCCGCCCCCACCCTTCCGACTTGCTCTTGACCGAAAAGATTCAGTTGTGGTGGCGAGTCGCCCATTCGGTTGCCACTGTGTGCGCTGGTCGTCCTCGACACTCTATCGTCTAACAACGGCACCAAGGTGACCCCCACCGGCAATTGGAAAGACGGGATGTGCCTGCATTCGCTCACAGGGATGCAATGCTCCGGTGTAGTTGCGCACATCACGAGCACATTGTGCATCTTCGTGGAGGTTGCCCGAAACCACAACGGGGTGCCATGATAGAGGGCTTTGACCGCCTGACTTTACTGAACGAAGTACATTTTCCTGTCGTCCTTCAGTTGCGTCTGAGGTGGCGGTGTGTGGGCTAGCCCATCTCACGCAGGAGTCCATCTATGGTTGGCTGTGACGCCCCACGGCGACGTGAAGCTCATGTCGGATGCTGCGCCTCGAGAGGCACTATCCAGTTGCAGTGTGCTGAATGGCCTCGTTCTCATGAATGTTCCAACACGGTGATGCTTGATGATTTCCCATTAATATTTGATTGCCCGGTTGAGCTAATTCCATACAGTCTGAAAAGAAATCATACACGCACCCCAAAATTTTCACCTTCTCAAGTATCAGTAAGGATAGCGGTTCAAGCCGATACGTAGTCCATGCAGTCATGTTCTCAATCGGCAGGGTGCGAAAGGATTTGGGATGAAGCCATGTCAGTAAAGAGAAAAGTGCCATCATCAAAATTTTGGCTCACAGTCAACGAAGGCAACGAGGGAACATTCACTCATATCTCAGGAACCCAATCAGAGTTTCCTATGATAGTTGGTGTTATTTCAGAGCTCAGTGTGAACTAAATTTTGTTCATTCGATGTCAGACCACAAAATGAATAACCTTTGAGATACAGTGGTTTCCCTCATTAGTGGACGGTCGCAATAATTATACCTTGCGAAAAATTGTACCTATCATGTTTCAACAGGTTATTGCTGGAACCTTCATGGACTCGTGTTCACAACCTTGCCATGCTCAAAATTCAAAACTTGGAGGCGCCAAATTCAAACTTTGCACACACACTCACCCATGCTTGTCCCCATTTGAGAAACGTGAGGACATGAAGCCTATGCAACAGCGTATTCGCCTCACGATAAAGCAGAAATTGGTTCTTTGCCAGCACTTCGAGGCCAACAAAAACCTGACCTTGCGCCAGCTTGCGGCGTGGGCACACGTAACGTTTAAGCTCCCGAAGGCGCCGTCAAAGTCGTCCATGGAGCGGGTTCTAGCGCACACCGTACACGAGCAACTCGCCCTCGAACGACCAAAGCTTAAGACATTACACAGCATCACCTGCCCCGAGCTAGAAGACTCCCTCGTCAAATGGATTCAGTTTTGCGAGAAAGCGAGTCTTTCGATCGTAACGTACGACACCATCCGCAACAAAGCAAATCGACTACGCCAGAGTATTATCGAGCGAATGGAACAAAGCGACCCTGACCGAATCAAACTCGAAAGGATGAAGTTCTCAGCGGGATGGATCACGCGATTCATGACACGGAATCGACTAAAGTTACGGCGAGTCCACGGCGAAGCAGCATCGGCACCCGAGTCGGTCGTTCGTAATGGGCGAGCTGAACTCCGCGAAATCACCAAGGACTTGTTGGAGCGCGACATCTACAACATTGATGAGTCAGCTTACTTTTACTGCGCCGTTGCTTCGCAATCGATCTCAAGTGCCCCTATGTCGGGACGAAAGAATGTGAAGAAGAGGCTCACCGTTGCTCTGGCCGTGAACGCCGATGGTTCCCACAAGCTTCCGCTGTTGTTCATCGGAGCAGCTAGGATGCCACGTTGTTTGAACAGCCTGTCGCAGGATGATTTTGACGATCTCAACTATACCAACTCACGGAAGGGATGGATGACGTCGTCCATTTTTCGCAAGTGGCTCGAGGACTTCAACGACGAAATGCGCGAGTGCGGTCGGAACGTTCTTCTGCTCTTGGACAATGCCTCAGTCCACCATAGCCATGATGGCGAGACGATGCTTTCCAATGTGACGTTGCGATTCTTACCCCCGAACACGACCGCGCATCTTCAGCCGCTTGACGCAGGGGTGATTCGATCTTTCAAGGGTCACCTACGTCGGATTCGTACAGACTTCATCGTCAAGAGGGTTGAATACCTGTACGAAGTCCAGCAGATCGCGAAACTGACCAAGGCGGAG